ACGGTTGTGAAGGAATGAACAGTCAATTCTCTGGACCAGTTTTCGATGCTGAATCAGAAGAAAATAATAGGAGGTCTCGAGAGCGTATCATTATGTCGAAGATGCTAATGTCCCGTAGGGGTCGCTAATATATGCATTTACGGACCTTTCCAGTGTAGCCGATTTTTCGTCACGAAAAAGGCATCTATTTTTGTCGGAAACGTGATATTCATGATCAGCGTAATCTGGCGGATCAGAATATGTGTAATAAAACTAAAAAAAAAATTTACTCGAATTTTGCATTACGTGCACCTTACTAATCAATGGTATTTTAGGAAATACAAAATTTACTAATGGAAGTGTTAATTTCGTTTCCTATCGTTTTCTCAAATGATAAATACGCGAATTATAATGTGGTAAGTGATTTTGATGGCATAAATGATGAATAAAATGATGTTCGAGTGTGTGCAGAACGTAGTAAATACGTACGACCGCGCTCATACTTTCACGATGGATTGTGAAGCTTTTCTCGCTCTGAACGAAAAATTAGGCACTTATCCTCAGGGTTTCAAACACGTCTCGAGATTTCGAAAAGTCAGAAATAAAGAAAATGTATCGATGTTTACTTCGCAGGGAGATGCGTGCATAATTGATATTTTCTTCCGTTTTCTGGCCGTTTAAGTACGAATCTTTTCTGATTCATAGTATGCTTGAGTTACTTTATCTGGATTTTTTCCCTCTACAGGTAAGCAAAAAGATACACGGTTATGATCACTAATAATTACTAATATTTCATTACTCATTACCGATTATAATTATCATTTAATCAAGCGTGGAAAGTTGGAGAAAACTAAATGAGTCGATAGGAAGTAGGTATACACTAAACAACCAATTATGAATAATTTCTATTCAAACATGAAAAGTTGGAGAAAAAACTCGATTGATAAGAAGTAGATATTCACCAAACCTAACAACTACCTCAACGTTGATGTGTTTCAAACCAAATGACCTTGCATTGCGGATGTATATGAAGACGAACGCGTATTTCCATGGGGTCTCAACCACTCTATACACAAGTATCTCCAAATTGACTGAAACTTTCAGCGTTTGTAGTCCATATATATGTATGAAAATATGTGAAGTTATTTCGGTAAATTTCACTAAGCTTCTCGTGTACTACGATCAGCATTTTTATGCGTATCTTTACCGATATACTTAAAAATGCAATTTTTTCGGAATCATTGTTGTTCAGAATCTTTTTCACTAACAGAGTTAAGTACCAATAGTCTTATATATTCCGAAAGCCCAAGTGTTAGGCTACATTTTGGTATAAAATTATAGAGGTCTTTCAAAAATTTTCCTTATATAGCACCCCCAAATACTATACTCCGCCACCTATATTGTAGTGTATACCTTTGTAATGAAAAACATTAGGGAAAAATTTTATTCCCAGAGATTATCATATAAGGAATTTCGTACAGAATTTCATGCTCTACAAGATGCACTAGATTAGAACGTTCGCTTTTTCGAATTCGAAAAGTAATTGGACAAATACGATAATTTTGACCTTTCTAGAGTAGAAAGCGCTCAGTCGGTTATAACAAGTAACGCTCACCGAGGCCGACTCGCTAAGCCCTCGACTTATTCAATTTTAATTCGACTCTTGTTATAAGACCCTTCCAAAAGATGTATCAATACACTGATCTCTCAGTCGGCCATCGGCGTCCCTTCGGTCCGCCACTCCCGACTGCTCGATATTTTTTATAGTATATACACGTCCTCAGATGGCACTCGCCTTCCTCTTCGACACTTCACACACAATTTAACTACTTCAACTAAATCTATACCAAGAAAGCTTTCAGCTGGAGCTTGTCTTTTGTTTACTAGACGTTATAAGGGGAAATCCACCCTGATTCTCATCTAGAGGGTCATACGACAAAAGCATCTAAGGTATTCAATGCCTGATTCATGCATCCTAGATACATACCTAATTTCTCAGCCTTACATCGCGTGATACCTGATTGGTCAGTTTTGTAATCTACCATAGCTACCGATCAGTCTCAACTATCTCCCTACATTATTCGTGAAGTTTCTGTTAATATTGGTTTTGAATCATGATGCAAGCACACACCACTCAAACGATCTTTTCTCATACGATTCTCCCTTCGCTTGAAAGAACATCTAATTAGTCCTCGTACCACTTCACAATACACTACTGATATAATCAAATTAGAGATTTAGTAAATTTCGAGCTACGGCAGTACGGCATATCTCTCGGATATACAAGCGTTGTTCGGTCAATGATTGAACCCATTTCAAGCGATTTTTAAAAAAAATTAAAGCATTTCGGACAAGGAGTAGTGATTTTTACCTTTGACGTCGCCGGCACAGTTCTTCTCATCCCGTCCTTTACTCCACCATCAACATCCAGCCCCAAGACTCCTCCCAAACGATCCTTTATTGAAGTTTGAACGTTTTCGCAAAAAATGTTTTTTTGACCTTTGACTTTGACACAGGCAGACGGACAGACAAACAAACTTTTTTTCATATGACCCTCGTTTCAGTCGAGGGAATAAAAACGAGCGTTTGCACGCATACTTTAGTCGAGCCATATATACACCCCTTTGCTTGAAGTACAACATCCACCATCACATAACCAGTTAACAGCCGATTCTACTGTATAGTGTCTTTTCGTATGTGGAAGCCAATCTTCGATCTCATGAACTAAGTTAACATTGTCATTCAGGATCGGCCGAAATGTGAGATGTGATAAGTATTTCTCGTTTTGCAATATGGCTTTGGCATCATCCAAATCCTGGACTTCAATATCAAGTTCGTCAGTGTAACGTGATAGTTTCAACGCGATTTTATCCCGAATGATCTGTTTTCTTGTTCTAGGATTCGTAGAAGTTATTTTCAACGAACGAAGATCCCATGCTTGTTTGAGTAAACCTTTCAATTTTGTATACAAATCCCTGACGAATTTACATTTATCTTCGATCTTCAAATGTATTTTCTCGAGATTTGATAAGACAATCATTGTCGAGAGGCATTCGATGGCATCGTTCGACCACTCTTGATCAATAATCAAAACTAGCTCTTTCACATTGCGGAATTGATATTTCGCTAGTAAATTAGTCTAGAAATAAAAAGATTTGTATGTTTTTTCGAAATTTCAAATGCTAATTACCCTAGTTTGAGTATTTTCAATCATTAATTGGTTCAAATTCAAAGTTAATCGATGTACATGGACGACGTTCGCTTTGCTTTCGTCCATTGTTGGCAACATCGAATCTAAGATTGTCATTCGATGGCAAGAAAGATCGAATTCTTCTCGAATGTTCATTGGTACTGTATAGACATCGTACCATTTCTTGTCTTCACTAGCCACGTAATCACATCGAACAAACCATTGTTTTCGATCACGCCAAAATGGTGTTTGAAATGACTCGAACGACGCGTCAACGTCGAAAATGTTTCCAAATCTCGGTGGATGATAAGAAAAATGGAATTCGAACTGTTTCAACAAAAGTAATCTAGTTTCAATCAAATTTTCCCATTTGTGACCGTCAAATAACGATTTATCCGCTTTATTTCCTGAGCTGTCCAATTGAAAGCATTGTAAGTGAGGACAACGCATCAGAATCGATTCGATGTATTGTATTTCGACTTCAGCTTTCATGTTTAGTGAAAGTGAAGTTAATTTACTGACTTCTTCACTGTTGACTTGTGATTCAGCAAGATTATCGTATGGTTGTTTGTGAAACGATTTCAAAACTAATTTCTGTAAATCAGTTAACGTATTGACGATGAACATAAGACTTGTCCAGTCAACTCTATCAAGGATGATCAGATTCTTTAATCGACATGATTTGAGTGCTTCTATCAAGTTTTGAAAACTTGTCAACGAGTAGTTACAAAGCCATATTGAGAGCGTTGTCAAAGACGATTGCTCAATGAACTTTGCAAACCTATCGAAATCTATCTTGTGATGCAAAGCGAAAGTCATTGAATCTAATCGGCTAAAAGTTCGAAGAGAAAAGTGATCGAGGAAGTATTCCATTAGACCGCTTGATTTGTCTTCGTTTGCCAATGTAAGTGAAGTTACATTTTTCGGATCAATTAAATATTCCATCCGACGTAGATCAGACATGGAAAAATAACATAGATCCAAGCGATAACGATCGTAAATTTTGCTGATTGTATGAAATCGTTTGCATACGCGACGAAACGAAAAGAGAATTGTCTCTGAATCAAGTCCATCGCAAATTCGATAAAGAATTTCCGTGGGTAATGTATCAAGGTAAGATTTGTTTGTATTAGACATAAATCTTTGTGAGAAGAATGAACACTTGCAATAGACTTTTACATGAAACGTATCCAATGGTTGTGGAGATATGTTTCTATCGATAACTGATGGGTAAATAATATGAGAGCGTCTAATCACATACTATTTATACAGCGATATTCTGTTTGTTGTTTTCCTCTCTGTAATAACATAAGCCGGCCAGAATTAGGAATAAACCCATGTAGAACGTCAGTTTTCTTCCTCTCATTCCACGTGACGACAACATATATCATCCTTTATAAGAAAGAAGAAAAGAAAAGGAATATTTCCATATGTAATAAATCATGACTCATGTACAAAAAGATGTATACGACGAATTATTCTCCAATCTGATTTTTCTTCTATCTTGAGCGTTAAGATGTGCATCAATATGCTCATTTTCCACAGTATAATCATACCCTCACCCATCCTACAGGACAACAATCGCTCAAAATGTTATTTTCTCATTCTTTTTGTTAATGTCTCGGAAAATTTTACAAATTCTTTTCTCCAACAGTTCCTTCTATTCTGCCTTCGATAGTATTGACATCGCTTTTGCTTTCACGACAACACGACTATCGTTCGTCTGGTATTCAACATCGTGAAAGAGAATGTACTCTATCACTGTCTAGGAAATTCCTAATTAACTGGCTATATTTTTATTTCAGGATTGAATATACATTCTACGTACACTACAAAAATATGTCAGTCACGAATTTTTCAAATGATCGCGTTCGACTTCGCCAGATCCTTTCAACATTTGCAATGCTGGATGATTAAACCACGTGTCCTCCTTGATATTGAGGGTGTTAACTGCCTTTTCGATGATACTTGCCAGCTCTGCTTCAGTTGGATCTTTAGTTGCACCATCAAAACAGCTTGGAAAACAACTAACCAACATCAAGCGAACGGAATCGGAACATTGACTATAAACTGTGCGTAGACGTTGCCACTGACACACATCTGTGATACAACCAACAGCCACTGCTATAGCTAACAATGCTCCACCAGCAACTACAAATACAACCTCGGCTGCTAGCTAGACACAACAAATGGGATGTCAGTGAGCAATTAACATTACAATAACCGTACCGCATAAACAAGAACTCAAGACTGCACCTGTAAGAAATCTCGCATATTTTTTTCCAAGTTTGGCGTCTTTTCGAGACAAGACTCGTAATATTTCTAACAATGGACAAGCAATCGTTCTACATTGACGTACCAGATTTTCCAACACCAATGACCAAGGTTCGCGAATTTGGACAATTTTTTGTGGATCCGTTGTTTCCAATGCTTGACCGATCATCATCGTCAGTCATTGCTTTTGTCACCTTGATGTCATATTGAATTTCAGCCAGTAGATTTTTGGTCTCCTTTGTGGCGATATCTAGAAGTTCTTCAGTTGCCTTGTTCATTTTGAAATCTAAAAACGAAATCTCACTATATAGTTCATATAGTCATCTGACACAGCTTAGCAGAAGCTGTCAAAACGCATTTGTGGATTACACTTTGCACAAGAAAACAACATGAAAATAAATCATCTTACATGCAGCGACGATCGGTTCGCAAGCACATACATGAGGTTACCTTTTTCGTGTTGGAAATAGGTTGTCTGTGTCAATATTTTTTCTTCTTATTGATTGCTTTGCATATATACTTAGTATGGTGACATCCTCTTTCGTCTTTCAGTTCCTCATAAAAGGCAATTTAATCTTACCGTTTTATTGTATAAAGAAATGTTCTTACTATTTTCTTTCTGTAAGAAAATACAGTTAACTCTCACTCTTTGTTTAAGAACATTAGTATAAACTGTGAGCGTTTCAATATCGTTTGCATTTGAGGACTCACTTTACCTTATATCGCTCTTTTTCAAAAATACGAACAACATAATCAGCCGTCTTGCGATACTTCCCAACATAAAAGAGAATAATCCGTTGTAGATTAAAACATGGCAAATGAAGAACTTGAAGATTTTATCACTATACAAGTTACAGGTTTAGTAACTGAAATTCGAGAAAATATTCAAAGGGCAAAAGCATTAACTGACGATGATCGTACGAATTGTTTGAAGATTCTCTATCAAGTCGAAAATGAGCACAAACGATTGAAAATCGAATTTTACAACAAAGCACTGTTTTTGATCGAAGAGGCATTGCAAACATCGGATCCACAAAAAAATTGTCCAAATTCGTGAAGCATGGTCACTGGCCTTTGAAAACCTAGTAGGACAATGTAAAGTTATCGCTGGTTCGTTGACTGAAATGCTCGGAGTATTGTCTCAGAGTGATGAAAGAATGAAAGCAAAATATGCTTGTATTATAACCGGCAGTGTTGCTTCGTCACTTCTGGTTGGCATTACCATCGGATTGATCATCGTTCATTGCCATCCAGCTTCTTTTCCACAACTGGGTATTCAGAGCACCTTAGCAGTTTCTCTTGCTCCACTGCTAGGTGTTGTGTTCGCTACTGCCTGTTTCATTCGAAAAATTACATCAGCCAATGTGTTTACGGTTCATCGAAAACTTTTTGATTATGGTCGCTCGGCTCTGGCCAAATGTTTTCCCAATTACTTTGAAAATCCAACGCATGAATCATCCGGACCGGAAATTGCAACGATCACTAGAAACTCAATCGACACATTCAAAATAAATGAAGATATGTGGCGAGATCATCAAGCACTTGCAACAATGAAAGACTCAATTCGAGACGAACTTGCACGTTTACAAAAATCAGATTAAAAACTTGTTTATTTTCATAGTTAAGAGTGCAAATAAAATACATATTTCGAGCTTATTTTAATAAATATCATCACAACTCATTTTTAGTCGTTTACATGCGACATCGGCTTCACTTGACTCGATTTTATTCTTACCAAGCCATACTTGAACAAAATCAGCATGTTTTCGGTACGTTGAACCAGTCGTATTCTCGACTATCCATTGAGCAATCTGTGTTCCAAATTTTCTTTGACATCATTTAAATCACTAACAGGTAGTTGTAAATGTTTGACCTGACGCGAAACAAGGCAACAAATATCCTCCATACTCAGTCCGAATCCGTAAGCAAAATGTTGGTTGATCAAGAGAGACGAAAGATTAGGCGCTTGTTGAAGTAAAGTAATCATATCATACAGTGTATTTGCATCTGATCTGATAGGGAAGCATTTGTCAAATTTAATTTCTACAAGGTGTGAAAGATCGACGAGAACTATGCGAGTGAAACGATAGGAATAAATGGCAAATCATCGATCACATCCATCAAGAGTTTGACCGTGTTGAAAATCACAGACTGCGACTTTTAAGAACATTCATAATGCTCATTATTCTCTCCTTAAACTACGTGTCGTATCACATACCTTCTTTGTCAACTCATCGGCTAAATCTTCTATCATTGTCAGCATTAGATTCTTCACATTGTACATCGTTGATGAATTCGACGCCGATGTAGAGAGTGATATTTTCCGTGGTGATGTTATGTAATTCATTCCTGTGTGACACATTGGTAAAGAATAAAAATATGTATTAGAAGACTGCGATTCACATTCCAAGGTGAAAAACCATTGTTTATGTTCGATCCAAAATCGAGATCGAAATGGTTTAATGATTCGTTCGGCACCTTGAGAAGATTTCAACAACAATTGTCGCGTTCGTAGAAAGATTTGGAACTGATTAAGCTTTGGTAAACGTATTTGAATAAATTGTTCCCATCGTGTTCCATCAAGACTATTCATATTACCAATCATTTTCAGATGGGCAAGTGATGGAGTGAGCAAAAGAAAAGATTCAAGTGTATCGATGTTAATATCCACTTGACTGAGCGTCAGCGAAGTCAATTGTGGAAAACATATGGACTTGTTCGTATTACTCACAGATGGTAACATTCGCCGAAATGTAAGTGTTCTTAAGTGAGATGAACACTGCAGAATTGTGCATAGATAATTTCCAGCCATATTTCCATCGATTGATAATTCATAAAAGGTGTTTTCTTGTGACCATTGTATCAAATTAAATCTCTCATTCTCTATTTGTAAGTCAAGTTTCCGAAGATTCGATTGGGAAACGAGTGAGTTCAAAAACTTAATGGTTGTCATTCTCCGTCGACGATCGTAATTTTCTATTTTGACCACCACTGATTTCAGTTAGTCGATTTTTACACGTCTTAAAATCCTAATCACGCGTGGTTCATCAATATCTTGAAGAACAAGCGACCGAAGGCGAGTAAATCCATGAACTCGCGACACAATGAGAAAAAGAAACTGACTTGACCAGGTGTTCTATCGTCGCTCAAAACTAATGAAATGACATTCTCAGGACGAACTAATCGATAAATAAGATTCAAATTTAATTTCGAACTTCGAAATTCGAAGCCCCTCGAAAGTCGAACACATAACGATTATAACTTCGCATAACTGAACGAAACGTTCGACATACTTGTCTTAACAAAACGACAATGGTTTCAACATCGAGATTATCAAAAATCTGATGTAGTAATTTAGTCGGCAATCTTTCGATCGCTGTTGACATGTTGGTTGTAACTCAATGAAATGGTTTTGGGAGTTTCACACTAATGACTATATATTAGGACTGGGGAAAAACCTATAGCCAATCAGAATCTTATACGAAAGGTAAGTAGCATTTTATTCGAATCATTTCGTTTAGATGTCGCCCGACATCGACAAATAATAAATCTTAGCATATTTATTTTTCTTCGTCTGAAACAGCAAGAAACGGTACAGTCTTTGTCTAGAAAGTATTTCATTATTGTTTATTCGATATGCAATGATAATATCTGGCTCGCACCGCATAGCATGACTGTGTCAGAATACCACCCCAATATCCCGAATAAATAGCGCACGGTCTGATTGTGTAACCGTAAGAATTAGAACAGATACTTCCTACTGTAGTTATCTCACTGGGAACGTCCCAATAGCACGAGCCAACTCTCCAATTGATTCCGTTCGAAGTAAAACTAATTGTAGTGTTATAACGTAGACCTACTGCGATAAGGCATATATCATATATTCCGCTCCAATATTTCTTGGTAAACCAAATTCGTACGATATATTTATAAAAACGCCAGGTGCGCACTGATGACAAGAAACACGAGCGATATTGTTAAGATTTGTATGGCCATTTTTCGTTGTTCTCGCCATCGAATTGTTCGATTTAGACGAGATTTCTGACAAAGAATTCGAAAGAAAAGTGTAAAACTAAATATGATCATAATGATTATTGGAACTAACTGATGAAAAGTCAACTCCCATATAGTTATTATTGGATAATAGACACCATGCATAGGTAGTTGAAAAAATAACCGTGGACAAAATGGAACGAATATAATGACAACATAATAGATCAGACTATACATACGAATTAGAATTAACGGTAAATAATGAATCAAGAAGCATCGCGTTCTGGTCACCAGCCAATGATCATGAAAGATGAGAATGTATTTTTCAATAGTTGAGAAAGAAAAGATCAGAAACTGCGTTCCGTATAGAGCATAATCAATAAATGACCAAATTAAAGAGAAACTTGGGGATACATGCCAGTCTTGTCCGTAAAGATAATAATTTAGAATGAATGGAATATCCGTTAGTTCATAGATGAAACATATCAATATGAGAATTAGAATCGAATGATTGTGTAGTGATTGACGAAGATTTCGATCAAATAGGAAATGGTAAAGAGTGAACAAACAACAACCGAGAGACAATAGATTCGAAAAAACAAAAAGCCAGAAACGAAATCGATACGAAAATATCACATCAGTGTATAGTTCCGTTTCATTCTCATTTGATGTGTTACTCATGTTTAATTTTAATCATTCCTCGCTCGGCGTTTTGTCAATCCTTTGAGTACTTCTTTACTCTCAGATTTATCTATGACATATCAGCATGTTATCTATCGTGTTTTTCATCCCCCGCATCTTATCCATGATAGCTATTAATAAACGAGAACAGCGTTTCATGTCAATTTATTTCATGTGCGTATTTTCTCACTCAAGCCAAACCTCAAAGCTCACATACACATATAAATACGTCCCTGATGAAGCAAGATTTCATTCTCCATACATATTTCCCATCGTTCTGATCGTATTAATATGTTGGCCGCTTTCTTCGCTCTTCTCCTTTGTCAACTTATTGTTGGTTCATATCAGCAACAAACAGGTTTGTCGAGATCATAATTAACACGCAACCAATTAATCTTTCCTTTTAAGCAAAATTTCTGATTGGTTTGGGCGATTCAGCTACTGCAGCTGGTACTGCTGGCGGTTATCCTGTTTCGTATCCAATTGTTGCAGCTAATCTATTAGGATGGTCCGTGAGAAATGTTGCTAGAGATGGTGTAAAAATGAGTGCCATTGCTGGCCAATTAAACAGTGTCAAACCTATCTTGTCTAACGTGACTCATGTTGTTGTTACTATTGGTGGAAATGATATGGGTCTGGTAGGGGCATTCAATCAAATCATCACCAAAAATAATTATACAGCAGTTGCCGCTAAAGTTACTGGTTTAAAACCTAACTGGATCTCGACATACAAATCAATTAAAGCAGCGGTTTTACCCACAACGAAAGTCTATGCTATTCCATACGTCGATGTTGTTAGCACTGGAAATAAGATTCCAAACGAGGCTGATGCTCATCGATTAGTCAAACATCTTTCCGAAACTGTTAAAGAAGCAGCTACTGTAGCTGGCATCGGTTTCATTGAAGCTGTCACAACAGCATTTGCTGGCCATGAAATCTTTTCAGTTGATCCTTATGCTGATGACTATTTTCATCCCAAAAATGCCGTTCATGCAAATAAGAAAGGATATGCTCGAGTTGGAGAAGTTGTTGCTAATTATCTTCGATCAGAATAAAACTCTTCCATCACTACGGTTGCAGTATGAATAAAGAAGTGCTTGTAATTCAAAAGTGTTGTTTGTCATCTTTGTAAATCGCTTTTGAAATTTTCGTCGAATAAACTCGGTCATGCTGCTCTCTTTGAAATTTTGAAATCGACTGTGTACCTACCCGATGAATATGCATGCATAAGATAGCAAAAATAACAGAGTTATTCGGCGATAAACGTCATGACTCGTGTCTTATTCATTCTTCATTAAAGAAAAACAACATTCATCTGTATAAGAGCAATCTTTTTTTCTCCATACATCTGAATTTGTTTGGGACGATTATTTTACCTTCTCCTCCATAAAAAGTCTTCTGCAATGGCAAATGCTGTCGATTTCACGCCGTGCATCACTTCTCATCCTCCGGATAGTGAAGTTCATTGTCGTTTACGTCTGGTCGAAGGAACATGCGGATCATCATCGATAACTACCAATGGTGACATTCAAATCATTGCTGATAGAAATAATTTTCCAACACAAACGTTTCCAGTAAGAAATGGACGTTTCAAAATATTAATACATTTATCATCTGGCGAAAATCGGATTCAACTAAGTTTCAGCGATGATCAGCATAGACGTAGGAATCGTTTTGGATAGTCAATTATGTTCCACTTTTACAAAATCCTCCTCTGAATTTATGCATTCTCGTTGGCTGTGATTCACCGCTGACATTCGACGACACTCCCAACTGCCAATATCCACCTAATTTAGATACGGCTATCAAAAAATAACGTCTCGCAGGATATTTATGGCAAACGTACACAGCTTCTCAAATGTTTTCAAATGGATTTGGTCACCGAACATTTCGTCTTGATGAATCGTACCAACGTGACACACTCAGTGGTGAAGATCAGTCTCAAAGAGAGACAGTAATGATTCATGTTCTAAAAAGTAAATATACAACTGCTCAAATTCGACATCCAAGTCGGGCACAACAGAATTTGAATGATAAAAACAAGAACATTCTATTCGATATTGCATTAGAAGCTATTCGGTCTAAATTTCAGGAAGAAAGAAATTATGTCGCAGTTCTACTCTTAAACTCACATTATGAAGATAATCTGATTACAGACCATGCAGCACTAGGTTCGGGGAGCATCGATGCACAATATTCGGTAGGAATCTTTGGTTCTCACATTCTTTTTTCCTGGCCAGCAACTTTGGAAGATGTCATTCCATGTTTTACGAATGAAAGGGATGTTGGTTGACACGAAACACTGGTATTGATGCAGAAGGTGATAAATATTGGATTGCATGTAATGTTGGTCTTGGAGCAATGCTGCACGAAATAGGACATGCACTTGGTTGTCCATATGAACAGAACGGTGTGATGATGAGATGTTCTCGGAAAGTCACATACAATGTTTTGCGGTTGATGAAGGTATTCTACTGAAATCAACGAACGGCATTTTGGCTATTGAATTTTATCTTGAACGCGATAAAGTTGCAAAATCATGGATAGATTATCTTGAAAATCCACCTGCCGAAGTTATTTTATGGAAGGAAGAATTACGAAGTCGAGTTAACGGAGAAGGTAAAATCAACACACCCTCACACGCTACTGGTCCTTTGATCGAAGTCGTATTTCATTCGGGTTTGGCTTTGGATGGTTTAGAATTCTTCACTAAAGAACATTCAGTTCTCTTTGGAAAGAGAGGTGGATCGTCACACGACTTTCCTATGGAGAATGGCGAGTTTATTCAAGGTTTCGGTGTTCGAAGTGGTGTGTGGATCGATGCTGTACAGATTGTTACCAATAAAAAACGTAGTGAATGGTTTGGTGATATTGCTGGTGGAAGTGAACATAAGCTAACAATTCCTGATCACGGTGATTATCGAGTTTGTGGGATTTATGGCGTAGTAGAAAATTGGGTCAAGCAGATGGGAATACAATACTCGCTTCGAGAATATACTTTCTTCGTTTTCTTAAAAAATTCATCCAAATATCCTCTCTAATACATATTATATCTACAGAATTACAGCTTTGTTGAAGATTCTAGGTCATCCTATTGGAATTTTCACTAACACAATGCATGATTTTCTAACAATGCTAGACGAGCTAGATGTCTCCTTTGCCGAACGAAAATTGTAGCTGATTGGCACATATGGCCTTCCTTTATTTTATTGTTATAGGAAAACAGTCTACCGTCTGATTTATTGACACTTATTTTCTTGAATCGACCATGAAACAGACAAATGTTAGCTTGACAAACCTTCCAAATGAATTGATCTGCTATATTTGGAACAAACTCGATAGAATTGATATGCTGTATTCATTTCTAGGGGTTAACCAGAGATTTGATACATTGATTCGTAATATGGGTTATGCTCAGTCTATTGAATTGATACAACCGACGAGCGATCATGACAAGACTAGTTGCTTGATTTACCCGATATTTGATCGGTTCTGTTCACATATATTACCCAATATACATGATCTTGTTGAATGTTTAACTTTTGAATCAATTTCAATGGAACGCATTCTCTCTGTTGGTCATTATCCTCATTTACGAAAGTTGATCATCATCAATATAGAGCCAGAATTTGTAATGCGATACTTTATCGGTATGAAATTTGACGTGGTAATTCGCTTTGATGATTTTATACATCCATTTAGATGAATCACGTTTTGCTCATATTTTCAAGCATCAGATCACACACTTAAAACTGTCGATAAATGATCCTGAGAGAACTCAATCAATGGTTGAACTAAGCACAACTGTATTTGCCCGTATATTTTCCATGTTTACAAGCGTAACTGAATTGGATTTTGGTTCAGCAGGTACTCGACGATATCATGCACGATTAAACATCGCTGGTTTACCTTCAACAACTTATTTTCCATCAACGATTCTTGTTTTACGTATCAGTGTAGATACATTTGATGATTGTTTGTGTTTACTTGATGGTCGTCTTGCTCGTTTACGCAGATTTGTGGTTCAAACGTCTAATATTTTCAACAGTAAACCGATTTCTGACAATCCGGTAAGACTATTTGTAATGAATAATGAAGTAATTTTCTTCGAAAAAGCAACTTCTTGAAGATTCTGACGACTATGAAAAGTTTCTCACTTACTTCACATCAGATCATTGATACAAATCACTATGAGAGCCAAATTATACCACTTCTTCGCCGAATGATATATCTTGAAGAGTTAATGCTACGTCTAACCGTCGACAAGCGATCAACAATCATCGATAGTACTCATTTAAACAATGAGATTCTTCCATATTTACCACAACTTCAAACCTTTACGTTTAATATCGTGACTTATACGACAGCCATAAGCGAATCATATTGGAAAAAGATTAATCAAATTCAACATATGTTTTATAATGGAAAATCTCATGAACTCATTTGTTACATTGACAAATATCGACGCGGTAAGGCTCGATCTCATATCTATTCTGTTCCATATACATTAAACGATTTCCGCGACTTAAGCAGCAACTTTCCCGGAGGTTTATTTACTCACGTTCAGGATATATCACTCATGGAAATTTATTCTGCTTTTGAACATGATTTTTTCATCGAAATCGCTCGTTCGTTCCCATTTTTGACATATCTATTTGTTTTAAACAGAATACCACAAAAGCACAAACAAAGAACTTCCTCTTTTGTCGAATTTCCTAATTTAACTCATCTTACGTTTTCTACCATATCTATTGATTACGCTGAACAATTCTTGGTCGACACAAATACACGTTTACCACGTCTGATGGAGTTGAGAATTGATTATGAACCTTTAGAAATAGTTACGGAAAGATTTAGTCGTAATGCAACACGTCTCAACTGTAGTAACATACAACGTTTGATTCTTTATAAACCAATGGTACACTATGAAAATTTTTATATGTATTTTCCTTGCTGTAAATAAAATTCCATTATTAGAATGTCATGCACTGTATTCTTGAACATAACTGAAACCTTTAATAAAGTCTCTGTAGTAGTTGTATAATATTAAGCAAAAATAGTGTGATGATCGAAATGTATGTAAGGATGAATATACATTCAAAGTTATATGAACACCATCTGTTGATTAAACACCATATAGATAAAGGGGAATAGATAAATCCGTATAGAGAAGAAATTAAACAGAATGTAGATTGATGTACATGATGGTATGGAACCATCTTAATATCAGTCTCACATTTCTGTGTTTCATTCTTCACACGCAGAGTATGTCTGTGGCTTGAGTATTGTTTGCGCTATACGAGAAGGAGGAAAAGGATTTCGTTTTTTGATAAGATATAACCATATCCTAATCTCGGTACTTTTTATTCTCATTCATTCACAAAGAAGCATTAAACCAGTACTGCGATAATCAATGTCTCGCCAAGCACAAGTTACTCACCAGGAAAAGGAAGTAGCAAAAGAAGAGGTAGTTTGAATTATTTTTAGATTGTCATGAATGTCGAAAGTATTAAAATGATTGCGTTTTTTAGCTCAAAGAGCTGGAGAAAGAAAAGGCCACTTTGGAGGAAGATTTGGNGTACTTTTTATTCTCATTCATTCACAAAGAAGCATTAAACCAGTACTGCGATAATCAATGTCTCGCCAAGCACAAGTTACTCACCAGGAAAAGGAAGTAGCAAAAGAAGAGGTAGTTTGAATTATTTTTAGATTGTCATGAATGTCGAAAGTATTAAAATGATTGCGTTTTTTAGCTCAAAGAGCTGGAGAAAGAAAAGGCCACTTTGGAGGAAGATTTGGATAAGGCACTGGAGAAAGGTGAAAACGCGGAGAACAATGAGGATGCTGCCAAGCAAAACACAATTGCCGATAATATTGAAAGTGATATTGAAGACCTGGATAAAGAGATTGCAAAGAAAAAAGATGAAGCCGGTGTGGTAGAATAAAGCCACGGGAAACTGAGAAAAAAAGGAAAACTAACAAAAGTTTTTCAAAGATTTTTAAATGTCTTACTTTGTTAGTTTTTCATGGCGTGAATTATAGGAAAATTGTTTTTTTGTAATTCAGCAATAAACACTTAAAAATATTCACACAAGAATAAATAATAAAAGAAGAAAAAAGTTGAGAAAATAAATGAAATAAGAATTATACGGAAGCGTGTGGGTATATAAATCAGAATCGGGTTGCACATTTTGTGTTTGACGATTAGAGATCAGACGAATCTTTTCTTACAATATTGCTACTAGTGATTACTTTTACTTTATATAATACACATATTAGTTTTGAAATTGTTTGGTGAATCGTTGCTTTTGTTTCAGATTTCATTACACCACTTGATCCGGTTCATATATCAAGTTTTGCATAAAGTATGCGACATATATTTCTATGTACTAGTCACTTGCGTTGTTTTCTGGAATGAGTTTTTGCGTTTGTAGTGGTACCATTGATGATATGCTGGGAAGATTCATTAATTCTCAAAGTCATCTTTTCTCTGATGGTGGATTACTCAGCTGGAATACCCAAATATAAAGATAAAGCTGGTGTCAATTGAAGCTAAGTCTTCTGTCAGAACTTGTGTTATTTTTCGATGAATTCTTTGACATTCAGAGTCAATGATAGTACTAATTACTTTATATTCAATTTCTATCTGTTTTTCTCCTTTGTCTTGTCTTGTATAATTGCATTGGTATTTATCATCAAAACAGTTTTTCTGCCGCTAATATGTTATTACTATTTACAAGCATTCGTGTACTGATTGTGAGTCTTTTTATTGATCTGAAACCCGTATGATTTATATTAATGAAACAAAAAATATAATTGTTTAAAACTATCGATCATAGATGATGTTTCGATTCGTGTCGTTCTTGTTGTAAGCTGTTGATGATTACAACCATGGTAACCATCAGACGCTACTAGCAGAGTCATCATCATCATCACTATGTGAGATAATTTATATCTTGAGGGTGAAGCGAGTCACAGGGAACGAGCGCTATTTATGAATAACAATAACTATATCGAGGAATCCATCAGAAAAAAAGATTGTCTAAACAGCAGTTGTGAGGACCACGGGTTGTTGTTGTTCAATAGGATGGATATGATTCCTTCTTTGATGTTTATTAGAAAATAGCGCTTGCTGAATTTTCAAGGGTAAATAACATGCGGTGAAAATTATCTTTAGTCCATACTGAAAACAACGTTTCAATTCTTCACGAAATTTATGACCGGTTAGCGTATAGATATAAAATCCTATAACAGAATTAGTTAAATGAATCATTGCTAAGAGATTATCGATGAAATAGATTATTGCTGATTCTGATGATGAAAAATGTTGTCGAAGTAAAAGTTGAGCGAATGTTTGATACATATTAATACAACAATATGGAATCGATATGAGAACAGTAATTAATACTTGAAATAAAAGCATTCGAATTAATTGTTGATCTTTCGAATGTATTCGTTTACTTGTTATGTTGTTGATTTGTAATGGAACAACATTGATATGAATCTTACGAATATTCAATACTGTTAAAATACCAAAAATAGCCATTAATATAATCGGTAAAACATTACCAACAATAACAAATAATATATTGTAAAAAATAATATAAGTCGATGATAAAACGGTACAATAAGTTTCATCATCAATTGTGAAAGGTCTAATAATAATTCCTAAATGTCCAAATATTATAAAAAAGAATAACATAGTAGAGAAAGTCATCTTTTTCGCTAATGATAAAGTACTCTTTTTTCGGATATTTGCATTATGTGAACTTGTAAGATATCGATCAAAACTACACAGAACAATAAACCATAAACCAAGAGCAATGAGAGGATATGTTAAAAATCCATTTATTTTACACCAAACAATATTTGTATTCGCAGGAATCCAATTCCAACTAGTTGAAATATGATTGAAAAGTGTAACGATATAAATTTCTAAAAGATTGCTGATTGAAACAATTAAAAAATACATTGAACATGAATTGTTACGTAAAGCACGACGAGTAAATATAATAATATTAAGTAGATTTCCAAATGTTCCAAATACCATTTGAATAATTAAAATAAAATGACCAATCCAAAATAGAATTTGATTTAAATGTTCGTCTAAATTACTAGCGGAATTCGATGTCATAATAACGGATATAGAATAAGACACTGAAAGGGAAAATGTTCTGATATAGATAGTTTGCAAAAAAAAGTATTCTTCATTTTCAATAATATATTCTGATATTTAAAGAACAGAAAATATAAAAAAGAATAAATTAAAATAATGGAAGCTCTTTCAATATCTTCTTGAGAAAAAACACAACAGCAAAAGTTTTCTTTTCTACAATAAAATGATGTTGTTTGTCTCTCGATATCAAAAGAAAAATTTATTTCTTTGTTCGTTGTGCGTTCATTTATAATGTGAAAAATAGCTCTCGTAGTCTCTGACTCGCTTTCATCCTCGACTGAAAAAAGGAATAATGAAATACATATTTTCAAAACGTTATCTCAAGCATCTATACAAGTTAAAAGTTTTTTCATTCTATATTGGCCAATGTTGAATGTGTGTTTAGGGTATGATTACGTGCTCATCGCAGCATAAATATGTGACGTAGGTTTCTACTTCATTAACAGTATGCTGTGTGAAGTCACTTACGAATATAGCTGCACTTACCAACATCTTCTCGTTCTTACTTTTCTTAATAAAAGTAAAAGGTGAATGTTACGGTGGGTACGGACTAGTTATCTTGTGTTTAGTGATAATCTCAGGTACCTTCAAACTATCTTGCCAAACGAATTTCCTAAAAAGCATCTTAAGGCATTGTCTTCTGTTAACTATTCATTTGAGGATCAAGCGACGAGCATTATTTATTTATATTCAATGCAAAAGGAAAAGATTTTTAATAAGATATTAACGAAAATGCTTGAATTCGATTATTGTCACAATCAGCGACATAAAGATTTCCTTCCAAATCAAATGATAAACCACGAGGATCATCGAATTGATTTGACCCCTTTCCTCTGTGATTTCCACCAAGAACAATTTGACCGCAATGATCGACAACCAAACCGTAAGGTTCATCCAATTGATCAAGCCCACTTCCTTTACCATTTCCTCCAGCAACAATTTTCCCTTTTTTCGCACCTCTTCGCCATTTCATAATTCGATTGTTGCCGGCATCCGCCATGTAAATGCTCTTGTTTTTATCAACGAAGATTCCGTGAGGGTATTTGAGTTGATTTAATTCTTCTCTCCTTTCATTTCCTGCCGCGACGGTCTTCGCCTCTTGTTCCCATTTGTTAAATTCTGTTTGTAAATACAAAGTGAAAATTATTTTTGCTAATAGGTTTCTTTGAAAATAAGAAATAAAGCAAAACTCTTTAATTGAGGAGAATTTATATCTCAAAACGTTGTAACTCAAAAAAAAAAGAACAGATATCTTCTTCTCTCAATTCTATGATGTTTTTTCAATCCNTGAAAAGTGTAACGATATAAATTTCTAAAAGATTGCTGATTGAAACAATTAAAAAATACATTGAACATGAATTGTTACGTAAAGCACGACGAGTAAATATAATAATATTAAGTAGATTTCCGAATGTTCCAAATACCATTTGAATAATTAAAATAAAATGACCAATCCAAAATAGAATTTGATTTAAATGTTCATCTAAATTACTAGTGGAATTCGATGTCATAATAACGGATATAGAATAAGACACTGAAAGGAAAAAAGTTCTGATATAGATAGTTTGCAAAAAAAAGTATTCTTCATTTTCAATAATATATTCTGATATTTGAAGAGCAGAAAATATAAAAGAATAAATTAAAATAATGGAAGCTCTTTCAATATCTTCTTGAAAAAAAACACAACAGCAAAAGTTTTCTTTTCTACAATAAAATGATGTTGCTTGTCTCTCGATATCAAAAGAAAAATTTATTTCTTTGTTCGTTGTGCGTTCATTTATAATGTGAAAAATAGCGCTCGTACTCTCTGACTCGCTTTCATCCTCGACTGAAAAAAGGAATAATGAAATACATATTTTCAAAACGTTATCTCAAACATCTATACAAGTTAAAAGGTTTTTCATTCTATATTGGTCAACGTTGAATGTGTGTTAAGGGTATGATTACGTGTTCATCACAACATAAATATGTGACCTAGGTTTCTACTTCATTAACAGTATGCTATGTGAAGTCACTTACGACTATAGCTGCTCTTACCAACATCTTCCCGTTCTTACTTTTCTTAATAAAAGCAAAAGGTGAATGTTACGGTGGGTACGGACTAGTTATCTTGTGTTTAGTGATAATCTCACGTATCTTCAAACTATCTTGCCAAACGAATTTCCTAAAAAGCATCTTAAGGCATTGTCTTCTGTTAACTATTCATTTGAGGCTCAAGCGACGAGCATTATTTATTTATATTCAATGCAAAAGGAAGAGATTTTTAATCAGATATTAACGAAAATGCTTCAATTCGATTATTGTCACAATCAGCGACATAAAGATTTCCTTCCAAATCAAATGATAAACCACGAGGATCATCGAATTGATTTCACCCCTTTCCTCTGTGATTTCCACCAACAACAATTTCACCTTGTTTCGTCCCTTTGCTCCAACGCATTATTCGATCATTTTCCGAATCAGCCACGCATATTTGACCGCAATGATCGACAACCAAACCGTAAGGTTCATCCAATTGATCAAACCCACTTCCTTTACCATTTCCACGCAGCGATTAATGTTCCTTCTCCTTTTTCTCCAAATTTCCATCTTCTGACATCGTTATTACGACAATTAGAAACATAAATATACTCGTATTTATCCATCGCTAGACCTTGGCACCAAATGTTTTCAAAGAGAATTTCTTGTCCATTTTGATTCCGCCATTGAATCACTCGCTCGTTAGATATATTGAAAATGATCAGAGAATTCTTTTCTGAATCCACAATCATACTTGTTGGAAAATTTAACTGATTTGTTCTATTTCCTTGTCCATTCCCACCAGCAATGATTTCTCCTTCTGTCGCATTATATTTCCATTTTATAATTCGATTGTTGCCGGCATCCGCCATGTGAATGCTCTTGTTTTTATCAACGAAGATTCCGTGAGGGTATTTGAGTTGATTTAATTCTTCGCCCCTTTCATTTCCTGCCGCGACGGTCTTCGCCTCTTGTTCCCATTTGTTAAATTCTGTTTGTAAATACAAAGTGAAAATTATTTTTGCTAATAGGTTTCTTTGAAAATAAGAAATAAAGCAAAACTCTTTAATTGAGGAGAATTTATATCTCAAAACGTTGTAACTCAAAAAAAAAAGAACAGATATCGNGTGAGGGTATTTGAGTTGATTTAATTCTTCTCTCCTTTCATTTCCTGCCGCGACGGTCTTCGCCTCTTGTTCCCATTTGTTAAATTCTGTTTGTAAATACAAAGTGAAAATTATTTTTGCTAATAGGTTTCTTTGAAAATAAGAAATAAAGCAAAACTCTTTAATTGAGGAGAATTTATATCTCAAAACGTTGTAACTCAAAAAAAAAAGAACAGATATCTTCTTCTCTCAATTCTATGATGTTTTTTCAATCCCATTTTCATTGCAGTTAGAGAGAGAGAATTTTTGATTGAAAAGAAGAATTTCTCCCATTCAATTCATTCAAAATAAAAAGGAACTTTGTAAAATCTCGTTCATATTCGATATGCATGTTGCGGATGTTTCCATTTCTGTCGTCATTATTGGCTGGGTGGTTATTGTTGTTGCTTCAATCTCTGTCGTAGGTACTGTCTGCGTTGTAGTTGTTGTTGAAACCATCACAGTTGTTGCTGTAGTTGTCAGTATTGTTGTGGACGTATCTTTTGTTTTCTTTTTGAGAAAAACTGTCGGAATCGGTATGATCAGAATAGTTAAAAACCAGGATTACAATGGAAAATACAATACACATTGATCATTTTTTGTGACGATGTAAGAACCTAAAAGTTTGCTAAAACTTTTTGTTTTTCTTAGTAATTAATCTAAGGATTCAGACCAACGTTGGTTTGTAATATCTATCAAAACGAATTCGTATCTAGTTGAGTCAAATTTACGAGTAATCCTTCCCAGATAATACCTCTTGTTTGGGTTAATATTTTCTAATAGGTAACACAAAGACTGTATCGGTAAGTCTTAGAACATCAGTTTATCCTCAAATAGTATTGCCGTTGGGACACCGAATAATCGAGAGATTAAGATCCCTCATTCCTGGGATCTTTTTTTTTATGGAGAAATCAGCAATGTTCAAGACATCAGCATTTTTTTCTAGCTATCGTGGCGCGACAACGGCAAATGTTCACCCGCGGTAGACATCTGTAGAAGAACCCTCATCCCAATATACACAATTTATTTCACTTCATGCTACGTCAGCAGTTATAGAAGTCACTCTATCGATAAAGATCTTAAACGAGTTCTCATTCAAACTTTATTCTTGCTAACATAGTCCACTCTCAAGACACCCTTCACATGAATGTGATTTNTTTTTTTCTAGCTATCGTGGCGCGACAACGGCAAATGTTCACCCGCGGTAGACATCTGTAGAAGAACCCTCATCCCAATATACACAATTTATTTCACTTCATGCTACGTCAGCAGTTATAGAAGTCAGTCTATCGATAAAGATCTTAAACGAGTTCTCATTCAAACTTTATTCTTGCTAACATAGTCCACCCTCAAGACACCCTTCACATGAATGTGATTTTGGGTGATCTCAAGATTCAACAATGCCGTATACATACGATGTTCTTAATTGAGTATCTGGGATTCTATCTTGTTATTTTGCATTGTTGGTCTTCAATTAACCCGTCTACTACCATACTTTTTTCATTCCTGTATACTCCCTCAACAGAATGGACAAAAATGACCCACGCTGGTAGTAGACGGGTTAAAGTTCTTACTGTTGTGGATGAAATTTAAAAAAGTTGAAAAAGAAAGCGTAATTTGAAAAGGACAATTCATCCTGACCCCCTCTAATAATTAATGTTATACATATAGGCTCATATTTTCCTCATTACTAGCCTTCAGATTTCAGTGACGAAATCTTTTGAATATCACGAATGATGTCCTTTAATGATACTTATTAGTCGAATAGACAAGTCTGTAGATATACGATAGAGTAACTTTAAAGATAGTTTTGATCTGTGTCTATTTTCTGTACTTTGAAAGTAACGATCACAAGTGCAGCAAGTATTTAAAGAGGTGAGTGAAATCTTTGAAAACAATCTATACAGTTCGGCTAGAAGGGGTGAACTCTCTACAGTCTGTCGATTTACAATGAACTTTTTGGTCTTCAAGAAAATTGTACTCGCTCAAATAATAAAAAGGAAGAGAAAATGTCCTCTCTAAGAAAAATATTTCTGGCAAATAATATCATCAATCAATTTGAAAGATTTTTCTAAAAACTATTTGCTTATTTATTTGGAAAAACCTTAGAAACGAAGAAAAAAGTGTGAAGATTCTTATATAATCGTGGCTTTTCTTTTCTAAGACTAATTTTTAATAGATAAAGCATAAAAAGTCGTTAAGATTTCTTCAAAAGCATGTACAAAGTAATGATAAGGATTATATTCTCTCTAAGATCGAGACACATTTTTAAGATATCAACAATGTTTTATGAACGTGACACGTCATGCTTATAATGCATGACGGAAACATGTCAAAGAATATTAAGTATATTGAATCAGATCTATAAAGGAGATTGTTGATTTGCTTTCTAGAATCTGTGATATGTTCAAACGTCAATACTACATATTTCATATTTGCTTTTCTTGTTTTTTACATTTTATGTAACGTGAAAATGAAAATTATTATCCTAGACCTAGACAAAGTTGATGAGATTTCGCCCGAAGGGGAGAATAAACTGATTTCTTTTTTGATTTTTGGTGATTTCAGCTGATTTTGATTCGTCATATATTACGCTCAGGAATTATTTGAACTTTCAGTATCCTTCATTAACATATAAACTGTTATTATTGTGGTTAGCTCACATATTTTCAGAGATGTTCGAAANNNNAAATCAGCAATGTTCAAGACATCAGCATTTTTTTCTAGCTATCGTGGCGCGACAACGGCAAATGTTCACCCGCGGTAGACATCTGTAGAAGAACCCTCATCCCAATATACACAATTTATTTCACTTCATGCTACGTCAGCAGTTATAGAAGTCACTCTATCGATAAAGATCTTAAACGAGTTCTCATTCAAACTTTATTCTTGCTAACATAGTCCACTCTCAAGACACCCTTCACATGAATGTGATTTCGGGCGATCTCAAGATTCAACAATGCCGTATACATACGATGTTCTTCATTGAGTATCTGGGATTTGAACTAAATTTGAATTATTTGATGAAGACTGAAATAATAGTGTAAAATAAAGGTTATTTTTTGTTTTACTTTATTGTAGATACGTTACATGATGAACTTCTATCTTGTTATTTAGCATTGTTAGTCTTCAGTTAAAGTTCTTACTGTTGTGGTGAAATTTAAAAAAGCTGAAAAAGAAACCGTAATTTGAAAAGGACAATTCATCCTGTCCCCCTCTAATAATTAATGTTATACATATAGACTCATATTTTCCTCATTACTAGCCTTCAGATTTCACTGACGAAATCTTTTGAATATCACGAATGATGTCCTTTAATTATACTTATTATAGTCGAATAGACAAGTCTGTAGATATACGATAGAGTAACTTTAAAGATAGTTTTGATCTGTGTCTATTTTCTGTACTTTGAAAGTAACGATCGCAAGTGCAGCAAGTATTTAAAGAGGAGAGTGAAATCTTTGAAAACAATCTATACAGTTCGGCTAGAAGGGGTGAACTCTCTACAGTCTCTCGATTTACAATGAACTTTTTGGTCTTCAAGAAAATTGTACTCGCTCAAATAATAAAAAGGAAGAGAAAATGTCCACTCTAAGAAAAATACTTCTGGCAAACAGTATTATCAATCAATTTGAAAGATTTTTCTAGAAACTATTTGCTTATTTATTTGGAAAAACCTTAGAAACGAAGAAAAAAGTGTGAAGATTCTTATATAATCGTGGCTTTTCTTTTCTAAGACTAATTTTTAATAGATAAAGCATAGAAAATCGTTAAGATTTCTTCAAAAGCATGTACAAAGTAATGATAAGGATTATATTCTCTCTAAGATCAAGACACATTTTTAAGATATCAACAATGTTTTATGAACATGACACGTCCTGCTTATAATGCATGATGGAAACATGCCAAAGAATATTAAGTATATTGAATCAGATCTACAAAGGAGATTATTGATTTGCTTTTCTTGTTTTTTTTTACATTTTATGTAACGTGAAAATGAAAATTATTATTCTAGACCTAGATGAAGTTGATGAGATTTCGCCCGAAGGGGAGAATAAACTGATTTCTTTTTTGATTTTTGGTGATTTCAGCTGATTTTGATTCGTCATATATTACGCTCAGGAATTATTTGAACTTTCAGTATCCTTCATTAACATATAAACTGTTATTATTGTGGTTAGCTCACATATTTTCAGAGATGTTCGAAAAAACAATGAATAAAGCGAAGATAAGTTTGAATACAAGCTGACATTTTCTGTTCAGCGATATTGTGTAGTGGAAATATAAAGAGTAGTTTTTTTCTTGCGAACCCAGTGAAAAAAATGAACATCATTATTGTGTCAGACCCGCATCAGGGGCGTAGATATTGCGCCTAACAGTCCAGCGTTACCAAGTTCTTATATGAATTCCATCATAAATAAAAGTTATTTGAAAGTTTTCTTTTGGAAACGGATTGGCAGATTGTATCATCGCCGAAGGTGATGAATTCAATACTTTCTGATAAATTCCCACCGGACCCGATGGGAGAAAATTTGATCTCGGCGATGACTCGCCTTGTTCAAACAGATTTGATTTCATCAAAACTCTTTATCATTTTCTTTTCATCGCGAGTATATTTACCTTAGTCAATTTTACTTCTCATATGTGGACATAAAGAACTCGTGTTGAAGCTTTTGTTTTCTCTCAAGTCGAAATTCACAGTGAAACTCGAACCGTTGTCGTAAAAGAAAGTGTTTTTTTTTGTGTGCTTGATAAAACATAATCTCCCCGCTCGCATATATACGTACGTATATTAGATGCTTCTTTCAATTCTTTCTAAAATATTTAATCTTAATTTTCGATAAAACGGTTGTTGCAGCGATGGAATCAAGTTGCGTTCCAAACAAAAAACCAGAGTACGGCTTGATCATTCTGGGTAATACTGAAGTCGATAAAAGTTATATTGGCAACCTGATAGTTGGGTATGAAATATTCAAACCATGTGCTCGAGGAGAAGGGATCAAATCTGGCGTAGATTACCACCGAATCGATACTGGATCGAGTGATCTTCTTGTATACAACATGCCAGGATTGATCGAAACAAATCAAAAACAAATCGAGCGTAACAAACGCGAAATTATGAAAGTCTTTGAACAATATCCTCTGTCGATTGTTGTGTTTGTATGGACACAAGTGGATGGAAGACCGCAACCGGATGATATTATCATGTTCAGAGCTCTTCAAGAAGCCTACAAGTTTCCGTGTACATCTTTAATATTTCTCTTGAACGATGTACCAAACAAACGATCACCAACGTACGAAGGGCGATTTTTGGCATTGCTTACAAAGTTGTTGAACCCGATGCCAATCTCATTGGAAAATATGATTTTCCTCGATGCATTCAATTCCGGAGATAACGACACGTTTGATGCAACACGTAATCGATTGCTTTATTTTATCGCAGAGCATCGCGAAAGTTGCCAAAAACTACAAGTTGAACTCATCGTGCGCTCCAATGAACTTTGCCTGTTGAGAGAAGCGATACGACGTCAATATTTGGAGATAGAAAATAATAAACAAACGTTCGAACTTCAAGTAATGCTAATGACAGAAGCATATGCAGTCTTTAGAAAAAATCAAGAAAAACGATATCAAGATATGATGGTGTATTTGGAATTGGTAAAAGAGCAAGTAGCAACCGAAGAAGAGAAAAAAGCAGGTCTAAAGGGACAATGCCAGCAATTTTGGAAAAAACTTGAAGATGAAAAAGGAATCTGTAAGAAAGTAGGAAAAGGCTACAAAATTGTCAAGCACGAGTTATGCGATAAATACAAATGTAGCAAAAATGATAACGAAATAGATTGTGCAATACCTTGCAAACCGTGTGGTGATAATTCTGGCTTGAGTGTTCTTATTGGTAGCGGTCTTTCTGCAGCATCTCTGGGTGTAGCTGGTGCTGTTCTCGGTGGCGCTGTCGGTGTTGTTCTAGGCCCTTGTGCAATCGCTACTGCCGCTGCTGGTGCTGCTGCTGGTGCTGGCTTAGGCGGTATCAGTGGTGCGATTATTACTCTTTATATAAATCGAAAGAAAGGACGTTCTAAAGTTCGAAAGAACTGTTAATTTCTGCTGGTAAAAGAAAACATTTGTTTTATTTCAAATTCAAATTGTCAAGTAGAAACACAGTGATAGAAGATCATTAATAAATAAAATCATATTCTCCTTCGGGCATCTTGAGGGTGTGTGAGGGTGAGTTTGAACTTAGGATGAGAAGGATTACGAAGTTAGAAAATCTTTTCATTTTGTCCACAAGACAGAAGATTCGAATATGTTCAAAGTATCCACAGCAATATGCTTAGATAAATATGAAAAACTTATCCAAAAAGATCAGCAAAACAGAACTCTCAATCCACGATAAATGAAATATATCTAAACAAGATATAAAAATCATCAGAACAATAGAGTTACTACATTTTCGATTTCTTCATCACAAAAGAACTAAGATCTGTATTCGCAACAAGGTCGTAACAACGTAGGTAATCATTTGATCGTTTATGTCCTGAACTTTAGATCTTGAATCTATTCTTAATTTTGATATGTTGTTATTAACTAGCAAAGGAGAAAATCAAATACTATAACTGGTAAAATAGCCGACCGGATATCGGAAGATGTAGGTTCGAGTCCTGCTTTGATTTGGGTGAGGGTGGGGGCATGTAGGTATAAGTAAAACTAAATCTATTTCTATTCCTAAGTGTGCTAGGAATTGGTCACTTACATTATAAGTCGAATTAGGCAGCTACTCCCTGTGATATTGAGTATATTACAGGAGATTTATATAGAGAATCAGTCATTAAAACTACAAATATATACTATATAATAATGATGTCAATTTTGGTGGATATGCACTTTAACCCTTCGGGGACGGTTGGCCCATTAAGGGACCATGGTGATTATTATATTTTAAAAATCTCTGAACACACATTTTCACAAAGTTTTTTTTTAGAAAATAGAAATGCTGATTGATTTTTGATGAAATACAGAGAAAAAAACTCCGGCCTCAAAGGGTTAATTTGTTAAATTAATGTATCTAAGAAAAATGAGATTATTTTAAGAACATTCTGTTTGTCACGTATTACAGAGTCTTATGATAGATAGAATTATTAGTTTTCAAATAAATTTTATATTTACATGTTTTTTTCTTTGATCCTGGCTGTTGTTTCTTTTGATGTATAGAATATTTAGAATAAAATATAAACCAGTGTTACATCTTTTTAGTATTGAATTATCTTTATATCATAGAAATTTGTTGACTGTTTTTTTATTGATATCTATTCAATCATTTGTTTCGTGTGCAAAAGAATCTCTCCTCGCTAATTAAAGTCTATAAACACCATTAATACAGCAAGATTATAAGATATAGCTTTAGAGATGCAAATAGAACCGAAAGTTAATTACCCTAATAATGAAATATTTAGTCTAGCCCATAGATTTTTTTCTATTTTCCAGAAAGCAATATAGATAAATAAATTTTTCATTAACTGTTGGTTATTCATTTTTTTAATCTTATAGTCATGTCTTCATCGTTTGCGCTGAGCTCATTCACAATTGCTTTATTACAAACGCAAAGATATCTATTTCAATATGGTGGACCAATTCTTATAACTTCAGGTCTTATCGGTTGTATATTATGTTGGCTCGTATTCAGCAAAGCAACACTTCGTAAAAGCCCATGTTCAATCTATATGATAGCATTTCAAATTTTTAATATTACATATATTATTACAATTATCTTACCATCGGTGTTATCTTTTGGTTATAACGTATCATATATTACAAATACATTAGGTCNATATCTGTTTCAATATGGTGGACCAATTATTATAACTTTAGGTCTTATCGGTTGTATATTATGTTGGCTCGTATTCAGCAAAGCAACACTTCGTAAAAGTCCATGTTCAATCTATATGATAGCATTTCAAATTTTTAATATTACATATATTATTACAATTATCTTACCATCGGTGTTATCTTTTGGTTATAACGTATCATATATTACAAATACATTAGGTCTCTGTCGATTTTCTATGTATATGACATACGTTTTAGATGTTCTGAATCCTAGTTGTTTAATTCTGGCATCTATTGATCGGATTCTAATTACATCACAGAATACATTAACAAGACAACGAAGTACATCTCGTCTTGCTTATATTAGTATTATATATGTAACATTATTCTGCTTTGTACTTCATATTCATACATTAATGTTAATGAACGTTGTTAAATTTGGAACCAATTTTTTACTTTGTTTTTCATTATCTTTTACATATCTTACTGTTTTAAATTATTATATGCTGGTGAAAAGTATCATTATTCCATCAATTATGACAGGTTTAGGTATTTTAGCAATAAGAAATGTTCGAAAATTAAATTATAAAAGAATTGCTCCTCAATCATCTGGAATAAACTTTGTCAATCATCGTAATTTACAAGCAGTTCATGCAAAAGATCGTCAATTAGTTCGTATTATTTTGATCGATATTGGAATTTATGTTTTATGTACGTATCCATTGACAGCATCGAGATTATATCAACAGATTACTCAATATGATATGAAAACTTATGATAAAATACTAGCAAAGTTTTCAATTCAATATATATGCGTATTCTTTAGTTATATACCATATTGTATTGGATTATATAGTAAATTAATCGTATCAAAAACATTTCGAAAAGAAGTGAAGAACATTTTTTTATGCAAATAATTATTCTTACATGTCGAAATAATACAAAGTTTTTAGTTCTGTATGTTGTAATATGTAATCCAGTGTATCTATTGTTGGCTTTTTTGTTCGATATATTTATGCGATATTGTACGTTTTCTCTTAATATTTAATCATTCCTTGAAAGAATATTATATGTCTAAACTATAATTCACAACCACATCGTTTTATAATAATGTTTTAGAAACTAATTACGTCTTCTTAGAGCACAAGAAAATAAAAATATCTAGAAATATTGTATTGTTAATTTTGTTCCTCTGTGATTCCCATCTCTATTTATACGTACTATTAAAAAAAAGAATAATTAGTATTTGGATATTAAACCCGCTTATGAATTAAGGTATTTTTATACTTATTAAGATGTATCATTTAAAATATACGTTGAAAACTCTTGGTTTGAGAACATTTTTAATGAGTACTTTTAACAATCCGACAAATAGTATCAGAAAAACTCATTAAAATATGCTTATTTTCCTTCCACGATACTTTTGTTTTCCATTCGCGCACAATCTAATGTATACAATGAAATTTTGAATTGTCCGTGACGTTCCTTTTATACTCATTCTTACATATATAGCAAGATATGTTTAGAGAGGATAGAAAATCTGCACGAGTAATATGTAAACGATTTTCTAAGTAAATCAAAGTTTTATATATAATGAAGAAAAACAACAACAAAATGACTGAAAATATCTAATAGAATACGCATTGTATATCAGATAATCATAAGAAACAGAAGTTGTCTAATTCTGTCATACAGTTTGACGTTTACCGAAGTCATATATATATATAAGTTTAACTTACGGTCTATGAAAAAAGTACAGTAAAACGCTTTTCTATGCACTTATTTGTCAAACTAGAGAGTTGCTCTTCGGTAGGCGAAATCACCATCAAAGTGTTCATACAATGTTCCTATCAAAACTATTCAATGTTTGATTGTTATTTATCACATAGGAATATGGAGAAGGTATCGTTATGTCTATTTACAGCACTTACTCTGACAGAGACATGACTTCGCTCGCATAATTTTTCTTATCACAAACGATACGAGCCAGTTTTCAAAAAGAACATGAAATATACTGGCTTTTCTCCATATTTATTACATATTCATGTAAAAACAGATGGATAAAACGCAATGATATAGACTAAGAAATAATGACGCGTTGAACTAGACCGACGGATCCAGGCGATGGTACACCCATGTCATCGAAAACTGTGAGTAGATTGTTTTCAGAAATCAACCAATCGGATGGAATATGATAGTAGCGTGGCGTTGGTTGCAGCAATTGACCTGAGCTTGTAGATAGCAACATGGTAGATCAGAACACCTACCTTGAATCAACCAGTAAGGGCCAATATCGTTTCCGTTGATAAAGGCATGTCCACGATTGAGGCCGAGTGCATCGAGTAAGACTGGATTAGCATTGAGATCTTTTCGCGCCAGATGGTCGAGATCGAAATGAGTCTGAAACCAGGTGATCGACTTATTAATAGCCATTGTCCATCCAGAATTCCATTCGACCGATTTGGAACCTTGTTCGGTATAAATCTGGCGAGTTTCACCAACTAAGCCCTTTTGATGTTCCCAAACTCTGCCGCTTAATGATTGTTCATCTAGAAAGATATCCCCTACAATACCTTTGTATCCGAAACTGCCTGGCCCTATGTTAAAATTGTCAATTCCAAGTGGAACTGAGAGAATCTCGAAAAGATATTGTTGATTAGGAAGAAATTGTGAAAGATCAAGTGTGACGCCATGTGTAATAGTGCTTTGAGCATGTTCAGCGTTGTCAAATACGCCCAAAAATTGTCCACCAAAAAAGAAGAGCAAACTATTTGCTTTACGCATTTGTACTTTGACAACTGTCCGTGCAGATGGTTGAACAAGTGAAACATTATGATGATACCACAAATAAATGGTTTCATCATTAGTCAAATTACATGGAGTGGAAAATCTCAAATTATTACCAGTTTTCAAAAATAACGTTCTAAAATTTTCATACTCAGGAGTCATGAAAATTTTTAAAAATTCATATTCTCTGAGGTTATTTATTTGAAGTGAGATATTCTAAAATTTCTGATATTGTTTGAAAACTATAACTGGTTTAGTTATACTCATTCAAAGTATCAGATATCAGATATTTACTTGTGTGCGAAAATTTCAAATTCCAACTGATACTGAAGAAATCAATGATAGTCTGTCATCCATGCCTAGAAAAAGGTAGAAACTCAGCAGATATGAGATATTTACTTTTCTCTGAAAATTTTGAAGTGACGAGTTTGCAAATCACATTTCAATGGATAATATACACCATATAATGTATGACATTACCTATGATATCCCTCACCAGCCGTTCTCGCTTAGGCACATTCAGCGAAAAGTCAATATCTTATATTTGCCCAGCTTTCAGACATCTACATAGACAATTACTATCGAACTCTTTACATGAGAATAAAAATTTCAAATTTCCATACAAAAGTAAATATCTGATATCCGGATATCTGCACAGTTCAGAAGCACACAGATAGACAATTACCGTCGAAGCACTTGCAGAATAATAAAAATTTGAAATTTTCACACAGAAGTAAATGTCTGATATCTGGATGTCTGCATGATTTAGAAGATATAGATAGACAAGTACTGTCGAATGCTTTGGATTAGAATAGATTTGGAAATTTTGATAGAGAAATAAATATCTGAAGTACGATATGGGACGACAGTTTCCACTAAGACCAAACTAGCAGAATGAGTTCTAACATAGTCTGAAGTATTAACAAAGAGATGTTCGCGAAAACTGGTAATAATTTGAGATTCTCCACCTCCTCGAAGAGACGGATTTAGTTGTATAATGAAATTAGATAAATAAAAGTTTGTTCTTCACCATGTCATAAAATATTTTCTAGAATAGATTTTTTCAGAAATTTTGCTTGCCCACTCGGGCATGGTGGTTGCTCACCCGGAAACTAAAACCTCGATAAAACACTGGTTACCAAGTATTCGTGAATGAATTTTCAGTTCTGTGGAAATTTTGAGCTTCCAGACTTCTTTCTTCATATTCGATACTAGCTAAACCATAAGTTGATAGTCATATGACTTTTTCTGCTGCTACAAAACTGTACAACTGAGTTATAAATGAATGAAAATTATGTCTATGGGTTAGTGAATAATAGCATTAACAAAAATACATCTCCTCATTTGTTTCTCATCTGTAGAAGAAATTGTCTGATTTTCAATTTTTTGATCTGGCCGTCCTGACTACTTTAGCTATTGAACTATCACACTTGCGCAATTGAAGTTTTTGAGTTATTCATTTATTCAGTTATGCATACAACTCGATGCATTGTATTTATCCTACTTATCATTCAGCGAACGCAATCCACTGAGTGAGTTGGTACTATCTTTTGTACTAGTTTCTTCAAGCGACATGTGCAATAGGGGTGTAACTTCATCTTTAGTTTTCTTTAAATAAAGAATAAAGAATTTTTTACGATTTATGATAAAACACAATAAATTCTTTGATATCCACAAATTAAATTAACAGGGAGTTATTTCGTGACACAGGCTGTTATACTTTACCTAAGATTATGTCCATTTTGTGACTTAACATACAATCTAACACTTGGCTGAAAAATTAGATATGTTTCTTTTTTCTTTACTTTATAAATAAAAAAAATAAAGTTTTTTTTTGTAAAATAAAGATAAAGTAAAGATAAAGGAACACCCCTAATGAGCAATTCTCCAAAAATTCGGTTGTATTTATATGCAAAACGGTACAAAGAATAAAATAAGAGAGTAATTATTGGAAATTTCCTTCTTTTTCTCGGACGCGACTCATATAATATACGAAAGAACGAAAAAGTGAATCGAGCGACTGTTGATTTGGTCAGCAAAAAAAGGACTCCGTGTGTAGTGTTATAAGCAAGAGACTAACAAATAATCAATAAAATATGGTTAGAAGGTCATTAAATACATCTATTGGACGATAATTGTTCGCGAAAAATGAACAGCATGACAAAACTGCAGTTTCAGTAACTCGAACACTGTCAAGTCTCAGGGATGCAAACACTGAGCATCGATGGAATCTGTGTCAGTGTAGTCAGTACCTGAGCACAAAATTGTGTGAGTTGACGACGATATTTTTTCAGTATTTGCACTGAAGTCGTGCATCACTAGAGACATCACTTATTTAACAACTTTCTTATTCGAAAATGTTCCCTGAGGCTTTATTACGGCCAATGAATATTTTACATCTTTTTCTTCACTTGAGAGTGAAAGAAGCAGTAGAAATAATCGAATCAGAGTCAGCTACGATGAAATTAGTAATCATCGATTAAAACAGTACTATATTAAAAATATATGAATTTTTTTTTTCAAATGTGTTATTTATTATAATCAACGAATCTGAATCTAATGGATTCTAATTGGTTCTTTCGAACTAAAATCCGATTATTTGCTCTAGTTTTCTTATATAAATTAATGCCAAACTCACCCTCAACCACTTCACTCTCCAGTAATTCATGACATATGAGATTTACATGTTTTTTTTTCTTGCAGGTTTAATAACTGATAATGAATATACAGAGTATTAAAAATGTGACGCATATAAACTAATAAGCAGTTTCATTTCATCTACTATACAACGAGAAAGTGAACGAGAGATAATGGCTACCTCATTAATACAGCTTGGCACTGAATCAAGACGAATTATTCTACCAATAATTATGTTTTTTGGCACGCTAGGAAACTCACTCAATATTGTTGTGCTGACTAGGCCTGCTCTGTATAATCATGCTTGTTCTCGTTATTTTCTGGCTCTTGCTTGCACCAACCTTTTCTCTGCAAGTGTGATTCTTACTTTCCGTCTCTTAAGTGATGGATATCAACTTGATGTAACCCGAACTTCTATTATTTTATGTAAAACAGTTTCATTTTTCTCTCAAACATCTGCAATATCCTCATCGTTCCTGACTGTAGTTACGTCGATCGATCGATTCTGTGCCAGTTCCAGTAATGTTCGCTTACGTTCGTTTAGCAATGTCAAAGTAAGCCGGTGGGTTATTCTATTTATCCTTATTTCGATTGCACTCTTTCATCTCAACACTTTAATTATGACTGAACTACGGTCGACCGACACGCTAGGATGCCGTATTCGTGGTGATACTACCTACAAACAAGTGTATACAATCATACAAAGCCTTTCATATGCTATTATTGCGCCTGTTCTCATGGCAGTCTTTGGTACTCTGACCATCTACAATATTAAAAAAACGAATGTTGCTCCTGCTGCAGGTGCACGCTATCGTCGCACTGAAAGTCAACTTGCTCGTATGCTCATTCTTCAAGTGATCGCTACCATTTTGCTTGCAGCACCCTCTGGCGCCGGTAATTTAATAGCGATTATGGCAAATACACTTTCAACTACGGTCGAGTTTTTTATTGCGTATGTATTCTGTCAGCTACTTTTTTATGCATCGTATACTACACCCTTCATTATGTACATTGTTTCGGCTAGTATATACAGGAAGGAACTCATTCGGTTGTTTCACAAAATATCATGCCGACGTGGTAATGGTCAAATCAATATACTGACCAATCAAGTAACACCATTGAATTCATAACTATATCTATCCATGACTGATTTCTAAGTTCGAATATTAATGTACGTCTTTGTCTTTACAAAATAAATATATCTATTATAAAATATTCTCATTTCTTTTGGAAATAGAAGCGTAGTACACTATAAACAGTTAATCACTCTAAATTCGAATATCGAGATCTCTGGCACTAATTGGATGTGTAAGATTGCTGTGATGAATTTTGGAACAATCGATTTAGTAAGAGATAACGGGTGGGGACTGCGATTTTACAAAAGAATAGAATACCACTATCGATTTCGACGGATTTACAGTCTCAGCAAGTGGTTTCAAGTCTACATAATCAATATAAAAAAAGAATTTAATACAACGGTAGAAACAGCTATGAGACGAAATCGTACCAGATTTAATTACTTTTTTCATATAGCTATAGATAATTCTGGTTGTTGCATTAGTATCGCTTCTCAGTACTTTATCTCTTAAATTGAAAAAAATAAAACATTAACTTTTCTAATTCGAAGATCATAAAATTGACGAAAAACTGAAGGTCTGAAATAATTTTTTATATTTATCACTTATAGCCTACTATCATTAGTCAATCTGTGTATATGGATGGTTACAGCGCTTGTTCGGTACAATCTGTGAGTTTGTTTGTTCTCTTTGTGATATTATTCTTTTTTCTTTTCCGTTTATATCTTATGTTATTAAGGGTTATATTGACGAGGTTGACTTTATTACATTGTTTGTCGATAATAAGATTATCGCAAAATTCTGTGCTTTGTTGTGTTCGCATCGGTTTATTTCTTTTTATTTACAATTTCATTGAATAGGAACTGTAATGTACATTTTTTGGTGTTAGAACAGAAATAGTGAAATATAGGTAAGTTGATTACTAAATATTGTTCGCTATTTGCTTTCTGTTTTTAGTATTGTATCATCATATAAGGGACGTGAAAACAATTTCGATTACCTATTTTTCAATTTAAAGAAAATTTTCTTGTATTTGATATTATTTAGCTGAATAAACGTCGTTTTACACTGTACAAATTATGGTTTACGAAGAAAATAATTCTGAATTGAACACAGTTACTGAATAGATAGGTGCGATTTTATATGAAACAAGATTTCATTTCTTAAGACGAAAGTATAGTAATGGACCTTATAAAATACATCGGTATTTTGAAGAAGTGGCAATAATATGTGTGCATATTTCTAATGACTAAAGCTTCCTTTATGAGTACAAGTGGAATAATCTGATCCCCATATTTCTCAGATTTAAAATTGCAAATCCTGCATTATCTTATAGCAAAGCATACAAGAAGTACCAGTTCATTATCTTAAGTGAAGAAATTCGATTAAAGGAAAATAATGTGAAACACTTCTCTACAGTTTGTGATAACACTCACTCTGATGAAAACAGGGCTAAATATAATACTTATTATCGCAAACTCTACAACTTAATTAATAAACGATATGAACAAGAGGAAAGAGGAGAAAAGAAAATTGTATATTAGAAAAAGGATTGTTCTATAATTATATTGGTCAAATTAATCATCCAAAGATCATTGCAGATGTTGAGTATTTATTCCATTATGTGTCGGAAGTTCAAGATGAATCAGTTGATTTTAGAAAGTGGGATAAAAATTCAGATGTTACCGGAATCCATACCATGGTCTACTAAATTTCAATCTGAATTTACGAAAAATGCCCATGTTTTTAATTGCGATAACAGTGCGCCGCGGTTGCGACGAAATTATCACATCATCTGGCAATCATATTTAAACATCATCATAGTCGTCATGGTGTTGATAATTGATGATGAAACTGCTTAATTGCAATAGAAAACCTCATTTACTGTTTCATATTTATTATATGTTCATGAATACATATACAATAAGATTCAAACATCGAAAAAAAACATTTTCAGTAAACAATAAAATTTTGAAAAATATAAGTATATGAATGTGAGTCGATCCTGCCGAGAAACATGGCTTGTGATCAATCAAACAAAGAAGAGAATGCCAGTATAAATGGTGCAGTCAATGAAAGTGTTAACTTTTCCAGTGATAATAATAAAAAGGAAACCGAGCACATCGGCAGCTTTACGAACAGGGTGTGTGAGGATGGGAGTCTGCGCATCATTATTCTAGATATTTACACCTTCAGCCTCACCCACACCCACACCCACCCCATCTTGCTTACGAAATCTAAAACTTTTCGTTGTTGCACCCCTAACTTTGATATCGAAGTTTATCAAACGATGAAATTCTTCTTTCAATTGTCAATTATGTCAGAGAAGTATTTTGCGCCATCTGCGATTATTTTTAGCTAGAAGAAAAGGGCCAATCAAAAAATTTCCGGTTCTTTTGTATCTCTGACCTACATTTTTTTATCAATAAAGAGAAAAACAAGTCATTTGTAGGACTTTAATGGTTACTTTATAGTTTTTACATATATACGACAACAAAAATACAGATTTTAAAAAAATCAGATTTAAAATGACTTGTTACATTGATGCATCCATTCCGTCAGGAAATGGTCGTCGAATTACACTACTTGGTACGGATTTGATCTTTGCGAGCATTGATAATGTTTTTGTTTATCCAACTCTTAATGTCGATCGATTACGAAATGCTCTTAGCGAAACGCTTTCTATATGGCCGATTCTAACTGGTCGTATTATTGTTAATTGTGACGAATACATGATTGAATGTTCTGATAATTCTATTCCATTTAATTACACCGAAAATAATGAACTAGAATGTTGGCCAGATTTACCTGTTGTTGTTGATGATAAAACAATACTTGAACCATTTATTGATTCCGTTCAATATAAAATTGAAGTTGAACCACTTCTTCGATTTAAGGTTACTTATTTACTTCGTAGTAAGGAATATATTGTTGGTACAAGTACTTCACACTTAGTTGGTGACGCCTATTCAAATATCCGTTTTCTAAATGATCTTTCTCAAATTTATCAACATCTTGAACCTTTACCACCTCGTCCTATTTTTCAACGGTGTTTACTCAACAAAGAAAAATTGGACCTTTCTTTTCCGCTTATTAAGGAAATATCAGAAAAAGCTGAAAAGATTGAATCATTTTTTGGGCGTTTTATCAAAGGAAAATCCGAAACTGAACAAATCAATCTATCTTTTTCTTCTGAACAACTTATTAGATTACAGAGTATTGGTAAATGTGATGATGAAGAAGTGACGATTCATGATACACTATGTGCTTATATTATTATTACTTTAAATAAATATTTTTTTCTTACGACGGATGAACATATCCAACGTGCTCGTATGATTATTAATTATCGTGGTATTTGTGATTCATTAGTGACACAGGAACATGTCGGAAATTACATTATTTCAATACCATCTTCTCAGTTTACAGATTCACTTTCTTTACCTTCTACTGCGAAAATAATTCGACAAGCAATTAAAACGATTCGTAATGAGGATTTTCTCGAAAAATGGCTTGTTTCAGCTGATGTGTTAACAAGACAACTTATCAAAGATGGTCGTGTCAATTATATATTAGATCAGAATGAAGTTATTTTTAATTCAAATTTTAAATATGATTGGGCAAATGAAGTTAATTTGGGTATGATCAATCAATGTCGATTCCATACAGCAGTATCATTTAAATTTTATTTTCGAATATTTCAATTGAATCCTATTAAGGGAAAAGATGGACGTTGGACAAAAGATAATGGAGGTGCACAAGTAGCTGTTAGAATTCCAAAAGGAGAACGAAAAGATAAATTTTTAGAAGCATGGACAAAAGATATTCAAGAGAATTTTGCTACTGTTACTCCTTTGGAAACGACTGGTTTCCGAAGACACCATGGTAGTTCTTGATGTTTCAAAGCTCATAAATTCCTATGTGGCATTGGTTTCTGTTAAAGTATCTAACAGAGATTTTTTTTTATTGGACTGGCAAGAAATTTTTTGCGCTTTTTTCCAAAAAATACAACTAATTTTCAACAATGTATGCTCCATTACTATCTATGACTTGTTGCCAACGCTCTGGCAGAGAAAGAGAACGAAACAAATGGTAATTTGTTGGAGCCAAGTCAGGAGAGTATGGTGGATGTGGAAGTGTAATCCATTCGAGCTACAATAGTTTTTCACGAGTCGACTTTGCAATGTGAGGTCTGGCGTTGTCATGCAAAAAATTAATTCTGTCCTGCTTTCCATGAAGTTTTGCTGCAACTGTTTGTCTAGCTCCTAGCCACTGTCGCTTGCGTGTGCAGTTAATATATAACACCCACTTCTCATCGCCAATAATAAGATTGCCGAGCCATTGGTAGTTGCGGTGAGACGTCATTAATTCCATATAAGCATCGACTCTGTATAGGAGCTGATGTGGTGACAGATCATGTGGTATCCAAACTCCATATTTCCACGTTTTGCCCAATTCGTGCAGATGTATTTCCACTGTAGTATGGGAGCACCCAAGCTGTTCTGCTAAACACCGTGAAGTTAACTTAAAATCTTCTTCGATAAGCCGCTTTAAATGGTCCATATTCACCTCTGATGGTCTTCTGGGATGAGACAAATTGTCGAGTTCCAAGTTGCCATTCTTGAATCAACGGAACTAATGTTGCGCTGTGCGAATAGAGATTACATTCTTGTCCATCGTGCTACATATGTTGCCTCCGTTGCTTTGCAATCCAAACTGAATTCATGAAGCAAAAGTGCTCGGAGCTCCCTACGTGATATCTTCATTTCTAATTCGAAATCAACACCCATATCCATAATTTTGTCTTTTTTCGAAATACATTTGTTCTCCCTTTATATACTCTTAATATGAAAACTTCTAGAACCTTCTCGGATGTTCGAGGCAAAGATGAAGCATAAAATATTGTGAAAATAAATCAAAAGGAAGAGAAAAAACATGCATGTGCGACTTTCTGTAACAGATTCATGATATACTGTAGTACTGTATACAACTGATCTTGAATGCTTTCTTTTCATTTCTATGCTGCGCGTTTATCCTTATTGACTATCGATTTCCTTTTCTACATATGATACGTAAAAATGAATACTGAATAGACAAATTGATAGTCCTTATATAGTATGGATATAGTTAAATCTTCTTTCATTGTATAGTCTCTATGAACATATCAGTGTGAGATATATAGCTTGTGGCTTTTCTATAACGCTCACCCCAAGATTTTAAGAAACAATAAAAAGTATACGATTGTCTTCAGTTTTACTTTTTATCCTATACAGTGACGAATTTAGACTTTGAGGGTGAGTTTAATCTACAAACATTCTGTTTTCATCCGCAGCTTCGTTCTTAAAATGTACTATTAGATTCAAAAACAAAAAAGACTTGTGAATGATCTCACAAAAGATCGAAACACAGTGTATTAGTATTCGTATTCGGCATCAATCACACATATTCAACTTGAATCTTCAATTACAAATGACACCTGTTAAAGCACCAAGTAAAATTTGTATGTACTTAGTAAATAAATTGAATGTTCAATAAGTAAATATCCGATGCTGAATTAAATAATAATTTCAATAATTACTGAGTAAAACACCATATTTGTTAGATGAAAAATAGATGTAATAAGTAAAGAAACAACGAATGATAAGTTCGCATTTCCTATTCGCTCTGCTGTGGTTATTTCGTCGTGCACATATCAATTTAAAACGATTTATTTTTCTTGCAAAAACATTATTAATATATAAACTATCAAGATTATTTTTCCTGTCTATCACAAATGCTAAAAAGATCTCCAATATATTTTAAAATATAACTTTTTCTTCAAACAATTTTATTAAATAGCTAACGCGGTAATTCAATAGTACTGACATTAACAACATTTATTTCTATATTATCTTGCCTATTTCCTTCATCACGTAGTGGAACTACAGCATGACCAAATAAGTTGTAAATAATTCGTTTCAATTCATATCGAAAAGCTCTTGAAATCATTAGAAATATGAAAAAATTGCTATAGTATGAAAGCTGATAAATAAAAGTAAAGAAACGATTTAAAAAACTATCAATTGTGCGATGTAATGATGTTTTTGACTGATCTTTTGTTATTGCATCGTAAACATAATACATAGTTATTATTGTACCACAAAAAATAAATACAGTACCTTGAGCAAATAAACAACGAAGCAATTGAAAATCTTTTTTTGTCATTGATCGAATTTGATTTCGTTTTTCTCGTGGGATAGTTCGAATATGGCGAACATTTTGAAAAGCAAATATCAAAAGAATAACCATAATTAAACAAAAAATAATATTAATACTTGCTAAGGAATAAGAAATAAAATTAAGATAAAATTTTGAAAGATCATAATAACAAATAAAATATGATGGATAAATTTCTTGACGACCAACTTTAACGAGTATATGAAAATTAAATACAGTCCAAAAAAATGTACTTATACTTATAGAAAAATAAGCTAAACGTTTTGAACTATATAGACGAGTATCAACATTTTGGGAAGATATTAATAAACGATCAACGCAAGCAAGAATAAGAATAGTTGGAGAAAGTGTAGCAAAAACAAATGAGAAATAAAGATATAATTTACATAAAATAATATTTGAATTTTGAAGATTAATGTCAAAACCGATAGTAATCATAGTTGCGAGCATGGTCGAATTAGTAAAACATAAATTTATAAGAAGACATATATTAAAATAGAATACGCAAACATTTTTTTTCCATGACTTTTTAGAAAATACTAAAGCACTTAACAGATTTCCAAGATTACTTAATACATATGATATTGGAACAATATATTTATAAATATAAATAATTGTATTGTTTAAATTTTCAATAGAATAATAATCAGACNCTAAATCTATTTCTATTCCTATACTCACAGGGGTATGGGTGCATATATGTATAAGTAAAACTAAATCTATTTCTATTCCTATACTCACAGGGGTATGGGTGCATATATGTATAAGTAAAACTAAATCTATTTCTATTCCTAAACTCACAGGGGTGTGAGGGTATATATGTATAAGTAAAACTAAATCTATTTCTATTCCTATACTCACAGGGGTATGGGTGCATATATGTATAAGTAAAACTAAATCTATTTCTATTCCTAAGGGTGGTAGGAATTGGTCACTTATATTATAAGTCGAATTAGGCAGCTACTCAAGTAAACTTACTTGATATCGCTGGTAAGTACTCAGGATCTGATTGAGCCGTCGACAAATATTTTGCATTGAACAAAATAGCGTCTGCTCATTTTGATTATCCATAATTCGATAGACTAGTTCGACGGGTAATGTTGAAAATGTGTGCATGTTGTATTTCAATCGTGCAGCAGACTGTACCGTAGAGGCTGGAAGCGATGAAAAATATTTAGTTTTGTTCGTTATGAGTAGTAACTCATGGTGGTGATGTATTTATATATGTTTTTGACGAAAACAAACGACGTGTAACCATTTCAACAGTTACGAATTGTTGGCGTGCGCAGAAAGGTGGCGTTAGAATACGTATGCGCAGTGGATTCTGTTTTCACAGATAGTGGTAAATTAAAAAATTGAAAACAAGGACATCTTTTATGATTTTGGCTCCTTTGGAAACCGATTCTATTTTCATCAAAAGGAATTAACATCTCTGAATTAGTTTTTTTAACTAAAAACTGTGATGGAATATGAAAACTCTACAGGTTAGATTAGAGATCCATTTTAATTATGTATATGTATGTTTTGCCTTCGAGAACACTAAATGTTACCCAGTCAGTTTTCACTGATTGTTTTGCAACATTTGACGTTTTTTTAGTTAAAGAAAACAGATGATTGTAATAAGTTCGACGATATAGTTTGCTGATAGAGCTTCATGCAGCATCCCTCAGTGTGTTAATTTCATTTTTTCAAATCTTATTCGATGATAAATAAAACAAAAACAAAAAATGATTGTTTCTCAACCTGAAAAAAACAGTCACATGATCTTTTATTTCTTTTTAAAGCCAACAACTATAAAATTGAGCTACGGTTTACCGCAGAGGTGACGTTAACTAGAACATTTAAAGTTAAGTTAAATTGCTATCCCTAAGCTGGGTATCTGGTTTTTGTGTTGAAGGGTGAGTTAGAACATTCATTATCTTTCATATAAATAGAATGACAGCTCCCTCATCGAGGTGCTCTAACAATTTGCTGTCAATTCATTTTGATGAATTAATTACCCTATGGTATTTTAATAAATAAGAAAACGTGGAAAAGCTTCGAAACACCAAATTTTATCGATTCTCTTAGAAAACAAGACGTTTAGCTTATTGGAAAAGTTAAACCGCTTTTCAATATCCCTAAACAGGTGGTTTTAACGATAATTATGAAATCTACAAGAACGCTGTAGTATCTTACTTTAAAACATCCATAGTCCTGCTATCAGCTAACTTCCGATTAGTTTTTTACAATATAATAACTGTGATATACCCAGGTCAACAAATCCGATCGGATTCCTGGAAACGGAATTGCATTGGAATCCGACTAGAAAATTCCCGTCGGTTGTTGCAAATTTTATGATCGATCTTTCTAGCTATATTCTATGATGACCCTTAGAAAATCCAGGAAATCCATGTTTCGGATCCGACGTGGGATCCGAGTACGGGATTGTTCGACCTGGGTACAATTGTATGGAATAATTGCTAGTTTAAGTTATTATTCAGAATTACGCCATAGTTATGAAATTGTTTCATCGAAATAGAACAGTTCTTCGCCTATTCGATATGAAGACATTATTTGAACGATAGAATACGATTAATATATGTGCACCGAATCCGTTATTGAAATAAACAAGCTATTCGTTCAATCGATATGAAGTGACATAAGTTTAGGATGAATTCACAATTTTCGCTTTTTCTTTACTAGCAAAAAGGACAACAATCTACATAAAAAGAAATTCTGTCTCTAAATAAGATGATTTAGACTAGTTTTATTATTCATCAATAAAATAAAATACGTCGATGTTGCTCTTATTGAAGATTCTTTCTAATTAATCATGAACAAGAGATTAAACAATTTTATTTCATCAATTTTTATAATGTTTTCAAAAAAATTTACAGATTGTCACAAATAAAAAAAACATGGCCTGCATTTTCACAACATAGATCATGAAGAATCGAAAAAACGAAAGAAACAAATGTTCTAAGAGGAAAAGATCCAAGCACTCAGTTAAAAGAATAAGAACATAGAGATATTGAAAATAAGTACTATGTTCATATCATAAAAAGAAATGTTGAGCAAAATTTAATTATTTGAATATTAGCATCTCCTGCATAAACAGTATATGCTTGAACCTTTCGAATAATATCAATAAATAGAATTTTTTTAACGTCGATTCTTGTTATCTTATTCTATAACAATCAGATAAATCATTAATGAAAGTACGAATTAATAAAAAATGACCTCGGAAATTTGGTGGCATTCCATTAACACGATAATATTCATGATCATCAACTTCATCTTCTGACGAATGCGGTGAACGTGGAACAAATCCTGGAGGTAGAACATAGAATGGTGAATACTATATATCTGGATCATTTGAATCCACATTGCATAAGTTATTTATACCAATGAAGTTTTCATTGATAGAACTTGATGAAGTCACAAAAGATAATCGAAAAGTTCAATGGAATGATTCATTTGTTTTTAATACTCACATGGAGAAAATTTAGAATCGGTACGTTTGAGCTTTTGTCGTTTTACACGACTTAGAGCGACACGAAACGGTGCACCTCCAGTTGCTTCATTAATATCAAATAATTGATCGGATGGAACTTTGAATTGATTGAAATTCTCGATATCTAAATAGATTAGAAGATCAGAATGATTGCCATAAATACTCCTACTTTTCAATTGATTAAGATCGACGAAAAGTTTGATAAAATTCATATAAAGTGTTGCTTGTTTTCGTGAGAGTCGATGCTAGTTTGTGTATATCGATGCGTAAATCAATAATCTTCAAAGAAAATTTTACTATATTGTCTCTTTGTCTTCAGCGATACATATCTTAAACGTGTGTCCTTTCGAATTATCTATAACAGGAATCAGTCGACCATCAAATAATAATTCTTCACCAGCAAATCTCATATTATCTATCTCTTTTGTTGATTTTTTCGTCCGACTTGACTTTACTATTCCCATCAATAATTTTAAAAAAGATATAAAGTTTCCTTCGAATCAGCGCACTTTCTCAATAATTATATCCAAATGAGTATTCATTCCTTCTCCCATTTGTTATCACTTCGGATAAAAGGCGCAAGAAAATATCAATTCAGATTCCGTTTGACTGTATTTCGAGTTTTGCTTCCCGTTATTAATGAGTTCATTCAATATTAATTCAATTTCGTTTGCCATTTTTACGTTCTCTTTTCGATGGTGAGTTTTGCACATAGGGAGATGTTCGGATGATCTTACGTCTGATTGAAGGTGATGCTATTTTGATTCTATTAAAAAAATGAACGATATTAAATGTATGAAAAAGAAATAATCGACACTTACTGTTTTCTGTGAAGATTGATTATCGAAGAAAATGCACGAAAGATGCCTGTGCAACAGCAACATACTTCGTAAATAATCTTGATACAACCAAGCAGAATATAAAGAGACTATTCTTTATCTTACCGACTGATTGATGAATACTCTACAAGGTTTACTTTCATCATAATCTTGAGGGGTGAGGGTGAGAATATTGTAGGTGTAGCAGAATCTGATTAAAAGTAGCTCTTGTAACGATTTCCTATGGGTTTGGTTAGAAATGGAATTTGATGTTTTGCAGTCTTTAGTAAAAATATCTGTCAAGAAAGTGATAGTCGGCAAAATGTAGCGGACCCATTTTGGGGGATTTTTCTTCGATATTTTCATATTTCTATGTTTCTGCGCTTCGATATTTCATTCTTCGATTTTTTAGTTGGGAGAATCGAAAGAGGCCATCTATTCAATAATCAATTGCACTATTCATATAAATATGAGAAATATGAATATATATATATATATTTATTATGAATAAAAGAAAAGATTGCATCTATTTTTCTCTTCTTCTCCTCTTCTTTTGTCGTCATAATCACCGAAAATGTAACAAAAGGAAAAGAAGAAAAAACGAAGCACATTCATCGTTGACGTTCCATCGAATGTTTTTAAAAAACAGATCAAATGTTTGATACTTTTACATAAGCGATAAATTAACGAGTACAAATAGACGAAAATCAGCCGGCTGAGAGAAAAAAAGTGCGAGAGAGAGAGAGATAGACGAAGGAAATCAAGATCATAAACATTCTCATTCTACACCTGCTGGTCCATCACCTAAAAAACACAATAACGATATTGAAATCTATATTTTTTTCAGTATTTACCAGTAGCATTAGCGCCACGTCGGAAATTCTTCTTCACTTCAGGTCGAGCTAATTGTAAACGTTTTAAAAATTCATTCGTTTTATGACGCATATGTGCATGAAGATAAGCCTAATGAAGTTCCACGAAAATCTTTCAAAAAAAAACTCGAAAAAAGCCCTACTTTACAACATTTAATATGATAATGAAAATAATTTCGAAGTGTATGAATGAGATTAATTGTATTATCACGTGCACCTTCTTTTGTATGACGTGGAAAAAGAACTGAAAGAAAACTTTATATGATCGAACAGAACAGAAACTATATCTTCCTACCGAATGTTAAATAACCAATATTATCACCTGTTCGTGCATCGCGCATATCTTTTAATTCTTCCGGTGGTGTACGATAACTAACAATAACTTGCGGGGCTTGTTGAAATTGTCGTCGTCGTTCTTTAAATTCCTAAAGACAGGGAGAAAAACGAAATCTATGATAAAACTATAGATCAATATTCTTACTTCCATAAAAACTCGACCAATAATATTATCATCAGCGTCTTTGAATACCGTTGAAAAAATCACAATAACACGATCGGCTGATGCGTCGACATACATTGTCTCATCATCTCGATAATGTATAACTGCTCGTTTATGATTTCCAGCTGTTAGCTCTTGATTTGCTTGGTATTCAAAGTACTTTTCGAAAACAGCCGCAAAACAATTTCGCTTTAACATAGCAATTTTACGCACAAGTGGTAGCCAGACTTCACTACTATCACCTTTAGGTAATTGAGTATTAAAATCCAAAGATAATGTTACATTATAACCTTCTAATGGTGCAACAAGTAAATCTCCATATTCTCGACGAAGAACCTGAATGAACGATGAGAAAATGGCAAACAAAACAAGCTCGAGATTTACCTCATCAGTACCATGTTGTTCTAAATCCCGGTAAAATTTCAATTTAATGCTGACAGTAAATGGTTTATCACGTGAACTTGTTATATGATAAAGAGCACCATCGAAATCTAGAGGTAATCATCTCATATTCGGAGATCATTCAGTTTGTACAATAAAACTTACCGACAACATCAGTTTTCAGTTCCACTAGTTTTTCTTTACGTAAAAATGCTTCTATTTGAAGTGTTAATAGTTCTTCAATGATTCGATTATGTACTTCTAATAAAATCATCGTTTTTAACGAAATTAATGTTCAAACAATGAACAGGTATTTGACTTGACTAAAAAACAACAACAATGCAAGACTGAATGATTCAGTCCTCCTTTCAAATAAGTCTGTTTATGAAAGAAAAGTGAGCCAAACTATCGAGTGCATAGCTTATAGATGTCGCTACAAATCGCAATCGTTCATTTCGATCGCATATCGAATTTGTACCATGTTCAACCCTTTCATGTTCACTGTCAATCTACGATCAAGTACACGATATATATATATTTGACTCCAATTAAGGAACTCAAATCAATCGCAGCTAATAAAAAGTGAAATTGATATCTTGACGCATTCAATCATTGCCATTGATCGATCATATTTTCTTTTCTATTTCCATTACTTGCACGTATATTTTTATTTAAGAATAATCAAATTGAATGAAAGAAGAATTTTACAACTGAGAGCCAGAGCAGAATTTCTTATTTAATAACGACAGAACGATGTCTATATCCGAGACAAAATACATGTCAGACATAAACAGAAATTTCATACGAAATTAAACGAAAACAGACGAGATACGAACTATCGATTATCTCATCAAGCATTTTTGTTCCTACACAACCAGTACATGACACCTATCTAGGACAATAATTTCAGTTCCCAGATCCGTGTAATTCCTGCAGGGAGACGCCGAAAATTAACGGAAAATGTAAACAGGAATCCTTTTACTGGATCCTACGAGCGGGTTTGCCTGTTTCCTTCCAGATCCGAAGAGAACCAAATGATTCTATGACTTAGATCCGCTCGAAGGATTCCTGCTTTCACCTTCTAGTGTCTTCCTTCCGGATCCAGCCCGTACTTTTCGATATGAGTGGTATAAGAACAACTATCGCATATCCAGGTGGTTTTACGATTGTTTAGTTCATCGATGAGCATCTGGTTTACTAGTAACTTAGCATCCTGTTCCGCAATGAGTTGCTCCAATCGCACAAGTAATACTTGCGGTTGAAGTGATATCGTTAACCTGGGCGAATGTTACTAGAGTAATAAAAAGTCGTTGTTATAACCTACACGCGTTAATCAAACCTAGAATAGAAGACACAAAATAATTTTTTTGAAGAAACCGTTTGCTACCTACTCCTTCGGCTCACACACTTTTGTATCTATGGTAGAGAGTCAGCGATGTATCTGGAGGAAAATGAAGAAGCTTAGCATTATGTAGCGAAAGACATGGCGGAGGGAGAACAAAAACCAATGATCTCATTGTTTTCATATTTATCGAGGTTTGTGCGTGCGGTCGAAACATGCTGTGTTTTCTTATTTGATTGTTTGATAGAAAATCAGCGAAAGATACACATATAAATTCATTCTCGCTTAAACTCATCTCAGATGAAAATGGATCAACCTATATTTTCTAGTGACTATGTATGCATGTCTAGCTGTTGCTCCGGAATTCAATGTGTTAACATTAACATCAATTGAAAAATGAGCGAAACATTGGTTTGTGCTGATTTTCTTTGTTGGACTGTTGAGAATCTTTAAAAGAAATCGATCATCTAAGGAAGTTGATCAGTGAATGAACATAGAATAATTGCTGTTCATGGAAAATCTTCTTTCAGATAAAACTTTATATAAAATAATGTTTCATTGATAGTAAAGATGATTTCTTTGATGAAGTCCATGTCAAAAGCACCATAAGGATAATCAATATAAGATTTCAATCGAGTCATAGAAACGAGTTCGTAGTGGCGAAATAAGTATAACGGTCACCCGCAAAACGCGCGCGCTAATTTCTGTTATGAATAATTGGGCAAAAGATGCACTTGATCGCCTTTTATCAATGACAACTTTCTTTGAAAGCGAAGATGATCGTTTGGTATTGAATATCTCTGGTGCTCACTATGAAATCAATGTTTCCGATGTATCGAATTTTCCCGACACGGTGCTCGGTGATCCACTGAAACGTATTCGTTATCTTGTACCGGGTAAAACCGATTATTTCTTTCCACGACATGCGAGCTCGTTCGAATCAATACTCTATTACTATATTAATGATGGAGTTCTTATTAAATCAGAGACCATTCCAGCAATGATATTCTACGAGGAAGTTCGATTTTTCCAATTGAACGACAAATTAGTGGAAAGATTTTATAATGATTATCTCTCGAGCCACGAGCAAAAACCGATGAAAGCTGATTCACGGTGGAAGAAGATCTTTTCTCATGCATCAAATATAATGAAAACATTCTCGGCAGTGTTCAACGCTCTAGCGATCTATTCTCTATGCTTAGAAACAATGAGTGTATATCGAAGTGTTCATCATACAATGTGGATGGTCACTCATCCATCAAAACCTTCGACATGTTCCGACGTGAATACACGTCCCTATCAATTCATTCCATCGTTTGATTCAGAAAATGCAACATTAGAAATGATCTGCATCGCTTGGTGAGTGACTTTACGATAGGTCTAAAGTGAAAAACAAACATTTTCCTAAGGTTTTACTTCGAACTATTTACACGCACGTTAATCACACCTTCATTGTTTCAATTAATTTTTGATCCAAATTTTGCGCTAGATATTCTTTGTATTCTACCAACGATCTTAAGTCAAATATTTTATCGAATTTATGAAAGAAATGGCAATCTCACGAAAATCAATGAAACCCAATTATTTGATTATTTGACTTGCTTGAAATTATTTCGTCTTTTCCGGCTAACTCGTCATGTACAATGTTTAATTACGCTACTGAAAGTCTTATACATCAATTTAAAGGATGTATTGATGTTAACCATCTTAATTATCTTTGGAGTCTTCTATTTTGGCTTAACACAATTTGTTCTCGAACAAATGTATGAAGAAAATGAAATGAAAAACATCGGCGAAGCATTATGGCATGTAAATACTCATGAATAAACACCACACCATCGTAGAAATGTGACTTTTACTGTAGGGATTTACAGTTATTATCACAATTGGTTATTCTGATCTCGCTGAGCATCAATTTCTATCCTATATATTTGCCATTGTTGGAGTTTGGTACGGCTCGATATCAATGGCGATCATTCTACCGAATGTAACTCAATCGTTCAATGTTTTTCATAATATAAAAAGGCGTCGTTTTATGATTAAATATAAAACAAATTGATGAACATAATTTATTGTATCTTTTCTGTACATAAGCGTTAGGAAAGTTCAAACCCGGCGTTGGCTTGAATGGCATAACGTAATTTATCCAAAAGAATTCGTCGAGTTTTATAACTGGGTAATCTGTCAAGATAGATCAAAAACTACATATGCAATAAATCAATGATAGAACTCTACTTTAACAAATTGAAACATGTTGAGCTTGACGGAAGCCGTTCGGATGACGTGCGATTAATACTTATCATATTACGAAATATTCTTCCTAGTGTGTCACCTTCTTCCTAAAAGACAACATTTTTAGATTAGACTTGATTTCGAAGTTTACAAAGTGTCTCCCTTACTTCATGTTCAGAACTTTCCAAACAACGAATAGTAAATGGAGGATTCAGTGAACGAAAGCCAAGTAATGGTGCACGACTCGAACTTGTAACAAACTAAAGTACAAGTACACATATGTATAGAATGTATGTAGAATAGATCAACATACACGCAGAAAAAGTGCTCGTTCTTCTCGAGAGAAATCTTGTTCGAGTATTTGCCAAAGCCATTTTATAACTGGATGCGTTCGATGATAACCACCCTGGTAAACAATATTCGATCTAAGAACGAAAANAACGAAAGCCAAGTAATGGTGCACGACTCGAACTTGTAACAAACTAAAGTACAAGTACACATATGTATAGAATGTATGTAGAATAGATCAACATACACGCAGAAAAAGTGCTCGTTCTTCTCGAGAGAAATCTTGTTCGAGTATTTGCCAAAGCCATTTTATAACTGGATGCGTTCGATGATAACCACCCTGGTAAACAATATTCGATCTAAGAACGAAAATTCTCGTGATATTAGACTTGAATTCATTCCAAACGAACTTTAAATCTTCTAAATCAATATCGGATGATTCTCCTGATATCAATTGTTGCAGTTCCGGAACGGAAAACATGTTAATCCATTCCGGTTTCATTAAAGTTTTAAAGCCTTCAGTAAATGCTTTGATTTGATTCTTGATACGCGTATATGTTCGATAAATAGACATACGATGGATATAAACGATTCTAAAACAATCGAAATCATTTTCCTATGCTATTAACACGCGAATCTCTCAACAAACTTGTCGTCATTTGTCACATTGATATGCCGTCCACACGGAATGATATCATAAGTTACTAATTCGCCCAGAACATCTTCATCGATAGAATAAGTTAACGCTAACGATGATACATCATCATCGTAATGCTTTAACACGAAAATTCGAATGTGTGCACAACAATAAAAAACAAAAGACTTGTTTACCTTGATAAAATTCAGATTATTGTACAGATCTCGATCGAGAAACATTAAATCATCAAAACATGAATAGTTCAGATTTTTTCGTGAAATTAAATGACGTAAAAAGAATGGAGCTAATTCAATGTCAAGAACAATTTGTTCATAGACAGCCTTGCCCAAGATTTTGCCAATGAAATTGAAAAGATATAAATAATTTTCTGTGCGATCAGATATGGGCGATGGATATAAAGTACGATTCTCTGTTACCTACGACAAAGAAAAGAAACAACTGATATCAGAAAAACGATTCGCTATTACTCGAAAGAGATTAAACGAAGGATCGAATGCTTGTCGTATAACTTCTTGAATAAATTCTTTAAATATTCCATTTTGATCAATACCAGCTTCCGCAAGACCTTGAGGATTGATAAAACTAATTCGAATCGTATTTTTCCAAGTTGTTGACGAAGCATTTTGCAACGAACGAAAAGCATCCTAAATGTATACAACAACTTCGAAATGACAATGTTGTGATCTTCTTCTTACACCGAAAAGNGAAGGATCGAATGCTTGTCGTATAACTTCTTGAATAAATTCTTTAAATATTCCATTTTGATCAATACCAGCTTCCGCAAGACCTTGAGGATTGATAAAACTAATTCGAATCGTATTTTTCCAAGTTGTTGACGAAGCATTTTGCAACGAACGAAAAGCATCCTAAATGTATACAACAACTTCGAAATGACAATGTTGTGATCTTCTTCTTACACCGAAAAGATTTGTACGATGAATCTCATAATAGTTCTTCATATGATATCGAGACGTAGAGTACTCATTAGATTCTTTTTCCTTGTCACGTTCAATGAACATTTGAAGAATTTTCACACGCTAAATATCTAGAATGCATTCGAGGACCTCTAATAGGAAAATTCTTACGTCTTTGAATGTTAAGATATGTGGAATTTGTTCGAGAAGATAAAATGCGCACGATTCCGTATGTTCCAGATCAGCCATAAAGGACGATGAAGATTTGACATCACTATTTTTGAAAAACAAGAATATGAAGGTTATTCTTTGGAAACAATTTACCGAATTAACCAATGCGAGTCCGGTACGAAAGATTTTCTTGAATTTCTTTCATGAAGGAGTATTAAAAGTTGATGTAAAGTTTTATACAACTGACTAGTTTCTAGTTTCAGTTTCGGTGATGTCGCCGTGGTTCGTACAAACTCAACGCGAATCATTCGGTATACAAACTGATTCAGAAATAAACATAATTGTGACCAAGATTCAAGTTCCAAATACTTCTGATCTTTGTACATTTCTTCTTCGTCTAAAATTCTGCAATAAAAAAAACCTCGCGGAAGTCAACGGAAAACATGAATAAGGATCTCTTACGTCGCTAAATATGAGCATAAATTACAAAATAATTGAAGTAGATCGAAGATTGGTTGATGTTCATCTTTATTAATTTCGTAAATTTTTGTTAATTCTTTCAAGCCACATGTTGGACCGATATTGTTTAAAAACTGCCATAAACTACTAATTAGACTGTCTTGTAATGACAAAGCTAAACATAAAAACGTATGAAATTTGTTCTGTTAAAACGAAGAAATCTCCATACCACAGAGTATTTGTAGTCTTAATTCAGTTAGTGTTTGAATTAGTTTCTGATAAAATGTCGTTATGCGACAAATCGATTGAGTTAAATCATCTGTAATTAACTTCTCCACCGTCGTCTTTGTATGAAATAACTTTTCAAATTTCGCTCGAATGATATCTTAAGGAAAGAATCTGTATTATTTCCAAAGACATAGTTCACGACTTTACTCGTTTCTTTCTTGATTACTGATGATTGACTAGTTGATGACGCCGTCGGAATCGATTCAAACAGCATGTTGACAAAAGATTTTGACCAAAGATATTTATACTGGGCGATGACACGTTGAACAACTTCTTGATTTGACCTATAAGAAGAAAATTCATATTCTCAAATGTGAACGTTTTCTTCTGCAACGAACACAGTCATTCCACTTGTTTTGCCGCGAACATGGCCAATGATTGGATGCCAAACACTTGTTGATTTCGATTGTTTATTATTCTGTTCACCCGTGCTTTGTCGTTGTTGACATAGATCCAATATGTTGAAAAGACTTTGAACAAATGGTTGTTTCAAGGTCTCAATTTGACTTGGATCGATACTGGCAAGAGCAACCAGATTTCCTATTGATATTCACATATCAAACAGCGTTCAAAATAGTAAAAAAAGAACTAACCTAATGTGTAGCATAATTCGATTATATCGATAGAATCGTGCGTATTTACAAGAGATTCTTTGACACTATATATACAAATAAGATGATTGAATAAATCCTTCTGACAAACCATTTGAAATGTCTACAAGAGAAAGTTTTCGACTGGAATGTTGATTTGTCGAAGTTATTTTACTTTATGTGAAGTTTCGTGACACATGGTGATGAACGTTGGAATAGTAAAAATCGTTTGAGATAATAAAACAACATGCGTTCGATTCAAGTCACTATTTAGCAGCAGTCTAGAGTACAATGGTTTTGACACAGAAGGTAAGACAAATTTGAGACTCACTTGAAAGACAAAGTGGCAATGTTAGAAAAGATCGATGACTCCAAGCGACGTTGCATACAGCGAATCATTGCAATCTTTATAAAAGTAAAAATATGAATTGATTGAATAGATTCAGCGAGAAGTGATTTGTAAATTACTTTGAGAATTTTCAGAAGATTATGTTGACCGAGGTGAATTAGATAACTACGTTCGATCGCAAGTATTGTTTTAAGAAGAAGTTCGTCTAAAGATGTGAATAGGTAAGCAGACTATAGAGAAGAAAACACTCACTCATGCTTTTCTGTAAAGCTCTCCAACTTTGGCAATCGGTTATCAAATAGATAAAATTCAATGAAGCCATGAACAATTTGATGTCAACGGTCGTTAGCAGTTCAGTAGTTTCAAGTATTTTCAAGGCAAGTACTAATAAATCTTGATTGAATTTCATCCATTGTCCATTCATTTCTTTAATAAAAAGAGTCGCTATGTGATTGCACTAAAAAAGGCAAAGATATCGATCGATTATTTGAATCATTTTTCATCATTTTAGCCGTGAGGAAGTTTGGGTTTGATATGTTCCTCACTATTGGAGTCGAAAGATCAGTCTTACGTACATTCATATCATCAGTAAGTAGACTTGTCGAGAGGTAGTTGAGTACCCCTAGCAGCATCTTCAAAATATAAAGAAAAGAACTCTATGTAACAAATATCTGATGGGAACACATACTTGTTGGAGATCGGGTGAGTTATTTTTGACTTTCATTCGATTATAATATGGAAGAAAATGTTGTAGGTGTGTGAACATTGTTGAAACTATGAGATAAACTCCGATATGATCATCGATTTGCGACAAAATGATTTACCTGGTTGTAATGGCGGATAGTTCTGTGGATTTGCTTCGGTAAAACCCAAGAAAATTTGATTGAGTTCATTTCTGGAACGGATTGAAACGATAAACAACGAAACAAAGTGGAGAAAAATGGTTTACTTTCGATAATCTCGATATTTTTTTCTCACGAGATAACCTCGTACCACCTTTTGAATAATAATAACGGACTGTTGGATTTGTTTTTCGCGACGACGAGCTTCGCGAGCTTCGTCCAAATTATGCAGGAAGTCATTTTTGTTCAAATCATTGACCGCTTTCTTTGGAAACATTCTATCTGTTTAGAAAACAAGCTGATTTGAGCTCTGAAGCATATAGCATAGCAGTGAACACTGTGATTCTATTGGGCGGTCTTTTCTCCAATGGAATTTTTGTGCCTCAAAATAGTAGAGAGTAGACAGATGAATGCACATTGCCTCTTATGATTTCAATACACAAAAAGGACTAAGACATTTTATGTCTAAACGAATATCTAACAATTAACAGTATCTTTTACAAATTCAGTTTATCAGAACCAATATTCTTTGTTGCAATCAAAAAATTCGGAATAGTATAGTGTACTGAATGAATGTATCACATTACATAACCGTCAGAATTTTAAAAGATTTCATTCGTACGAATTTGACGAGCATTCATCCAAGTGCTTTTCGCGAATTGTAAGTGTAACATTTATGAATGAGACATGCCCACCCAGCAGCTAGATATACTTGAACTTTTATTGTTTGAGATACATTCAAAAAATGACTATAATTCCTTCTAGCGCAGTATATAATCATAATACTCTGGAAGCTTTCCAATGATGAAGTTAGTTTATGCATATTCAACAAAGTAGTGTATACTTAATAACCTTTTGTATTAAGTATAGCGCATAGTGACATCTAGAGCGAAGCGTATCGTTGATTATCGCCGTGGTTGAAAAGGCAGCATTTTCTTCTGCTTACATTTGGAACGAGAAAAACCATATCTTGTCCAGTATCGATATCCTCCCTTAAATTTTTAAAACTAAGATTGCGTTCGAACCAATCACGTATTGAACATTTCAACGGTTTTCAGATCAAAACGCATTAAAAACTTCCAAACCACAATAGATAATATGTCTTCTGAAAACGAAAAATTAGTGAATACAAATGGTGGTGGGATTAAACGACATCATTCAAGTATAATTCGTTGAATGCATTCTTCTTATAATCGCCTATTCTGATATTTTAGTCGAAAATCTCGAACCAGTCAAAGAAGCCAAAATGGAAAAAACGCCACAGAAGGTTGTTGATACTAAATCAAAAGAAGTTACAAAGGGCCATCTTCATCATCGAACGGAAACAAGCAACGAATGTCTTGAAAAGGGAGACATCGTCTTTATGTGTAAGTTTGACTTGAAATCTTCCTTTTCATTGGAATAGACAATGAAGTTCATCTTACCAGATAAACCAAAGTTGGGCGTTGACGAAGCATCATCTCTTGATGAGGTTCAATTGTTCCATGTCATGTTAATTCCAGAAGATGAAAATAATCAAAGCGATCAATCATCGAAAACACGTTTGATTAAGATCGGAAAAAAGAAACTACCAGCCAGTGGAAAAGATCGATTTTGGGCTTTTATCGAGAAAGCTGATGATGATTTAGAGAAAGTTGAAGAAAATCTCGAAGCTCAATCGTATCGAACAGCGACAGTTGGAACACGAACAATCAAAGCTGATCGTATTGCTGGCAAAGGAAAATACATCATGGCTAAGGAAGATAAAAATCGCACAGCGATTGGTTATATTCTCGAATCGCCAGCTGAAGTTGGCGAAGTTCAACATGCATTTAACATCACGAAAGAAGCATCGTTTTCTTTAGCAGTGAAAAATCCGAAGAAGAAAAATCCAGCTGGTGCAGGTTTGACTTCGACTGAAAAGGCTGAGTTTCCTGAAGAACTTTTGAAAAAATTCGGTGATTACCAATGGTTACCAGGTTTGCCGCATCTTTGAATCAACAACATTTAACAAGAGTTTGATTTCAGCTGAGCCAGCCATGCTTGATATTCTTGGCTGCGAAATGATCTGGATTGGTTCCACGACTGATGCTCTCGAAGATTTGCTGGAAGAACTTAACAAAGAAATCGACGACGAAACAACAGCAAGTGAAGTGATGAAAGATATACAACTAGATGAAAAACAACATCCAACTCAACCATTGATTGATGGCGAATGGCCAAAAGCAGAAGATGCACCAGAGAAGAAGAATGAAGAAACGCCTTCAAATGAATAGATTCTCATCTGGTCTTTAGTCTATATTTATGTCTTATCTTTAATTTATTATGATTAATACTTAGTTACGATTGATTATATAATAAACGTTAGAATGAACCTTTTGACTGAAACTTCGTATTCAATTGACAGTCCTGCAAGGCAATTAAACTTGTAACAAAGTCAAAATACGACAAATGATCATTATCGTGGTCGACGTCAATCGTATGAATAGCTGTTCGAATGGTTTCTTCATCAAAATGAGACATTAAGTGTGGTAAAACACGTTGAATATCTTCGAAAGTTATGTACGAATCTTTGTTGTGATCAAGTTCATTGAAGATGCTGAGAAAACTATGCGTATCTTGTTTGATCGGTGGTAGATAGCATAGGATAAGTAAGAAATTTTCAAACGTACATGGAGCAAGAACGTCAAACTAAGAAGAGATACGAAAACTAACCGGAAAAGTATTCGTAGTACCTGTAAAAATTGCATTGTTTCAATCAATACGAGTTCTGTGACTTGTTCATGGAAATCATTTAGAATTCGAAAGATGTCTTCAAAAAATATTTGATGTTTTTCATTGGCGTATGTATTAAAATGAAGTTCAAGAACATTGACAATACCATGCAGATTCGCCGACGATTCCGTGTCTTTTTGTGCGTAGACAAGTAACATTTCGGTTATTGAACATTGCCGAACGTTCTTTGTGCTACGTCGATGCTCAACATTCATCACCGAATTATTCAAACTACTACTGGATTTGAAGACTCGTCGTATGGAATCATTACTGCTGATCGCTATAGGGCGATGATCGATAGAAACAATCGATGAACTCACAGTTAGAAGGTTGTTGTCGTTCATAGGAAAATAATTTATGCGCGTTTTTCGTGTCTTGCCGCGAAACAAGACGAATGTTCATTTAAAATTATGATAATCTTTCCTCCGATGAATATGCATGGGCTGTGGCTGTTGTTCACATGCATCAACTGAAAAAGATACTTTACGTGTAACAATTGTTGGTTTGGAAAATTCCGGTAAAACGTCGCTTGTTCAATGTTTGAAAACTTCGAAAAAGTCACGCCAAACATCTCTGTGTGTTTCAACTCATGGTGTTATATCGATTAATATTCAAACGAATATGAATTTCCTTGTTTTTGATTGTGGTGGATGTAAACATCAACGACATATTTGGCCTCATATAATGAATAGTCCCGACGTGATTTTATTTGCTGTTGATAGTATGGATTTAACGTGTTTAAATGATGCGAGAGAAGCGTTGAGTGATTTACTTGTGGATGAGAATTTAATCAACAAACCTTTACTTGTCATTTTCACGAAATCAGACAGAGAAAATAAGCTTTCGATTGATCAACTTGAACAAACATTGGATCTGTCAGTAATAAAAGTAACTATCAAAGAAGAAAGTCTTTTAATCATTTGATCTTGTTATTCTATTTAGGATCGATCAGTCCATACAGTATTGTTTTCGTCTGTCACTTTAGAGGGTTTAACGACGATAAGAGAGTGGCTAACGTATTTCAGTTATCGTAAACTTCAAGGAAAAGATATGAACATTTCAACCTCTGAAAGGCATCGCTTATTACATTCACTTAACCTTTCAACAGCATGACTAACTTCCACTATATGCAGTATCGAATTGATTGAAACGAACATTAATTATGACAAGCAAAAGTTGTTTTTATTAAACATAAAAGTACACACATATCACCTCTGTCTATCAAATATCACGATACGAGAGGAGAAAAAGAAAATGGCTCCTCCGAATGTTTCCATTGTTTGCCATCATATTCTGCTATGTACATAGCTAATGGTGGATATTTACCAACGGCCCGATAGAATGTTTCTTGATCAGGGCGTTTTCCTTTAATTGCACTTGTTAACGCTAATAAACCTGGCGCATGCGTAACAATTAACACTGTACCACCGCGATGACCGTATCGATTCACAATACCACGCATAACCGTACTACATCGATCAAAATAGTCTGCTAAGGATTCCGGCGTATCAATCTTAGATATCAGAGGCTTATATTCAAGTTTAATATTGTAGCCATTTTCAATTAGCTCAGATTTAGTCATAAAACTATCGATAACTTTCTGATGTTGGTGAGGACATTCGAAAAGGCCTGGTTCAACACGAATAGGGATACGAGCACTCGCATTCAAACCTATGTGAATATAAAAGAAAGATATCTCAAAAGAAATCAAGTTGTTCACTACCTGTCAAAAGACGTTCACTTGTCTGTATACAACGGAGAGCGCTTGATGACAGACATACATCAGGTACAATGTTAGCTTGTAGCATAGAAGTGCCTGTATGACGAGCCAGTTTTAAACCATGAACTAAAATACAGATAGTGTGCACGGCGCGAGACAAAATTCATATTGTAACATACGAGTAAGAGGTACGTCGAATTCGTAGGCATGATGAGAATGTCGTTGTGGTAATGCTTTTGGTAACAATGGATCATATGCAGCGTAATTACCAGACTCGAAAGCTTTTAGAAACCAGTATGTCCCTAACACTTGGTTTACTCGTTCACTATGGCGAACAAAAACAAGACGTAATGGTTTTCTTTTAGATGCACCATCAAGTAGTTCGTGGTGACGTGGTACAGCTGTTGAATGCTCCTCATGCGCCCCATGATTATGTGTTACGGATAACTGAGGAACACGGCGACTTGAACGTATATGACGTCGATGCATAGCATCTTTGCGAGACGCATTCTCTTCTCTTTCATCATGATTCTGCACAAAACTGGCTGACTGATGAACGGTTAAATGATTTTCATGCGAAGCCCGCCGTTGAGATAAACCATTTGAAAGTTGTTTCGACGATTCGAGTAAGATTGGCCGTCTCGGAGGTATTCTTGGTGAAATTTCGTAAACATTTGTAGCCGAACGATGATGTCTTCGATGCTGCTCTAATGAGTCAGCATCTGTGTCTATTCCGCCTTCAGTATCGTATCCTGTTTCGGAACTTCGGCGAGGTTTGAACAATGCCTGAGAAACATGTAGTACAGCTGACGCTAATGAATCGCTATAATCGGTTGTTGTGATTATTGGAAGAGACTGTTGTTGATTATTATGATCTGATGTTTTACGTGAAAGTGCTTGTGGATGTGATGAATTAATCAAATGATCATTATTATTAGCATCACTGTTCGTTAAATGCCATTCTCGATGTAGTAGATCAGCTAATTGCTCAGTCACAATGTTTCTCTTCATCGTAATATAAATAATGGTGTTCTACAAAATAAGATAATGATTCAATTTTTCTATTCTTTTCATGATGAATTGTGTAGTTTTATAGGCGTCACACATCAATGGATTGTTTTGTCATTGAAACTGAATTAGGAGAAAAATGACGATTAAAGAGTACATAAAACACATACGTATTTATTGATGTATTTTGTAATCAAATAATAAAAGTAATTTGCTTGAAGATATGACGATGATCGTGACTCACTCGGACGATGACAATGCACACTTTTCGTACGCCGTAAAATCCCCATCGATTCAATTGTGTCGTTATCTTATTGAATACCGAAGTCTCGACAGAAATCCTTGGAAAACAAATATAATCATCTCAGCATCTGACAATTAGTACTAGATAACAGCACCAGTTGCCATTCTGCAACTTTATTAGTCGTTTATCTTCTTTGAAGAACTTTTTCGGATAATATCATAGATATGAAAGCAGATTCCAGTATCATACATAAATACTTGCTTTTTATTCTGTAATTTAACAACCATCACGATGGTGTATGAAAAACGACGGTTCTTTGGAGTTTTTTCTCCATGGGATTTCACTGTGAGAAATATTCAATTGCCGATATTGTTTCTTTTAATTGTAATGATTTTCCTCGCTCTGGTGATCGCCCTTATTTGTGATTACTTCGCTGAATTATTTTGTTGCCATCATCCTTCTCGTTTGCCGTCGCAGAGCGATATCGAGACTACTGAGTAAATACACGTTGAGAGTGAACTCACACACAAATGATTTTTTTTATTTAGAACCACAATTGATCGAACAACATCGTCGAAAGCCGTACATACTTCGAATTCAATCATATATACTTGTTAGACAAAAATACTTCGTTTTTTTGTGATTTTCTTTTGTAGTTATCTGTTTTTTCTCTATAGGCAAAGATAAATGTCTTATATATATAATCTTTCTTTTTCTTCCTCTCTGCGTGTTCTCATCGATCGATTTGCTGTCATTGTAAAAATTAGCCTATAATTTGATCATGTAGAATGATCATAATCGATATTTACATTTTGAATTTTGTTTACTTCTGCATTTTAACTATCCAAAGTATCAGCTCAACGAAAATTTATAAATCCGAACAACAATTCGGATCAACAATCGTATTACCACCATGTCTTCCTCCAACACCGTCGTCTGTTGATACAGAAACAGTAAGATGATACTTTTCATTTTCTCTTATAGAGGCTATTTTCTCGCTAGACAATTCTATTCAAATCGAACTCAGGTGAATTGCTGACTTTGAATGGTGTACTAATCTCTGACAATCCACGTTTGATGATAAACAATCGATCGTCGACTAAATTAATGATTGAAGATATTGATTTATCGGACCAGGGAGAATATGAATGTCGAACGAATGAAATCATTATTTATTTATTTCATCTAGTGGTTGTTAAATGTAAGTACGATTAAATAATCCTATATTCTCGCAACTACTTGTTTACGCTTAGTCTCCTTCATTCAATTAACAGCAGTCGAAGGTTCTAATGTTACATTACGATGTGTCGAAAACGGTATGTGGATTATTGAAGAGAGTCCACGAGGTGGAACTGTTCGTAAGTTGTATTTTGCTTCAAGAAAGTCTCGATCGAATTACGAATGATCATACAAAGGTACACAATATACATCGGAGTTAATTCTAAATAATATCCAACGAGATGATCGACGTTTCCAAAAAATTCTTTGTTCTACATTGGATGGACATGAAAAACGAGAATATATTATTCATGTGATGTGTAAATATTCCGTGATAGAAATCATCTTCACGTAACATTCTTTTCCTGTCTCTTTTGAATTAGATAAACCAACTGTCAAACTAACGATGTCGGTCCGAAAGAAATTGATGTGTATAGTATGCGCCCATCCGCTGCCCTATCGTATCCAATGGTTGCGAAATGCGCGAAAAGAACGCGATGAAACTGTTCATCAGACAAATATCAATCAATCATGCATTGTTCAAGAGTATACTTCGATCTTGGTATGATTAATCAATCATTTAGATACATCAATTGACAGACTTTTCATCTTTAGAGACTAACGTCTAATCAAGAAGAATTTATTGAATGTGAAGCGGAGAATATCTATGGTAGTGATCGAGATATTATACGAATAGGTGGTAGGACAAATTTGACTTCGGTAATACAAACGTTACCGGCCAGTTCGTTCAATCTATTCTCGAAAACAATCAGAAACAATGTCCCGAATAAATCATCGAATGTTCAACAATATTATGCGACGATTATGTTAATACTTTCACAAACGGTTGTTTTAAAGCGCCATCTATATGAGAAGTGAAATCGTATTTTTTCTGAATATGAAACAGTAAATATGAATGAAGTGTAGTTTTCAAATTTAATTTTGAATAAAAAACAAGAAGACGTCAACTATAATTTCTTGTATCTTCGTATCAGAAACTGAGCTCTTTGTTTGATCAGCCAATCAGATCATGTCTCATTATTGATTGTTCAATTTGATCAAGAATCTCATCTCATTTTTATTCGTCCTGTTTCCTTTGACTTAACTCAAAAAATTATGTCTCCGCCGTCTGTTCGCCAACCTGGCGACGTAGTCAATGAAGTCTACTCGGAAAATATCAAATCCATTATTCAAACATGTCTTGACGCCGGCGACGATCCAAGTTCTCTGATTGAACAAGCGAAGCGTGAACTACATAAAATGGTAACTGAAATGATGGCAGAAGATGATGCTCTACTTGAACGTAAACGAGCCGAACTAGCGCCCATTCGTGTACGTTATGAAGCACTCTATCATGAACTACATCCGGATAAAACCTGTCCACAATATGGAAACACATTACCTGTTCTTCAGGCATTACGGACATATATTGATGAACATAAAAAGTTAAAAGAAGAACACGAAAAACTACTTGAACGCGAACCGGATATTCGTCAAGAAGAAAGACAATTATGTAATGAATTGAATGAACGTTCATTACAAGTTGACAATCAAACTTTTCTGTCGAAACAACTAGTTGCACAAATGAGTCTTTTATCTGAACATATTGCGAAGTTACGTGAGGAAAGAGTACGTATGAATTTGGTCTCTTACGAATGACAATTTTATGTTCTTTTAGACAAAACGTATTGATCATTTATCGGAAATCATTCGTATGTTACATGAATTCGAAGAAGTTTATGGATGGAAGCGACCACTTGCTGATACGATGGTTGGCCGATTATTAGCCCTCGGACCAATTGAAGTTGATAAATTTACCTTGACCAAAGAAGCTATTGAACTTGTGGATAAAGAATTTGCTCAGGTAAATGAACATTTGTTTTCTTTGAATCTTCCGCAAATTCAGCAAATTTAGATCAACGAAAAAATACAAAAAGCAGAAGCTTGTTTTGAACAATCACATAAACAATTGACAGCATTAATGCGTAAACATCAGTCGTTAATTCCCAATAGTAGAGCATTAGCTGCTACCAAAGTCAAACATTGTCGAATGTCCAAATTACCTGACGTATGTTCCGTTTCTTAGTTATCGACTGATACTTGACTATTGAAGTTTCCTTTGTTTAGTTAATTGCGGAAGTTGATCGATACACTGAACATGCTTTAGATAAACTAACTAATGATATAATCAAAGCACGTGAACAAATTCATGTCATATTGAACAAACTCTCCGTGGGTGACGTGTCGAATGATTCGAAATATGCGATTTTATATACGAGTGAGTATCGAAGTTCTGAAATGATTCCTTTTGAACGAATCCTGTTTGGTTTCGTAGATGATTTCACAGAAGATATCTATTTCATGCACGAAGAACTTTTGCAAGAACTTGAAGCACAATATGAAGTGAATAAGACAATGTATGAACAAATTGAAGTGTGGAATGAATTGTTTCTTGAATTTCAAGAATTCGAAGTACGTTCGAATGAATTTCAATGTAAACATATCTTGATTTTTCTTGATATCTAGAAAAATGCAAGCGATCCTCAGCGTTTCCATCGTCGTGGTTATAGTGCGTTGGCAGAAGAAAAAACTCGTCGAAAATTAGAGGCGACTCTACGTGAGTGTGAATCTCGTCTCGAAAATCTTGCTGAAGATTACATGAAGAAAAATAATGGACAAGTATTCATTATGAATGCTAATGGAAAAGAAATTCCCGAATATATTCGACAACGAAAAGAAGATTATGCAAAATCAAAAGAACGTGAACGAGAAGCAGCGAAGGTAAAGATACAAAATACTTCTATTCAAATAGAATTCATGTGTTCTTCGAATTAGACACCAGCATCGAAGAAAAAAGCTCGTACAGAGACTATAGTACGCGCCCGCCCTGCTCCTCTGCAATCTGTGCCTGGTGGTGATGATAATACTAACATTAGTGACGATAATCAATGTGCTACTACTCTTTGTGTACCTGTTTCTAAAAAGAAAAAAGCTCCTTTGTAAATACTCTTTTTATTTATCAATCGAAATTCTTTCTTTTTAAAATAAAAACCATGCAAGTCAATCTATTTCTCTCACTGTTCACTTTCTTCTAACAAATCTCGTCCTTTTCTAGGCGGCACCCAAAGGTACATTGGTTGGCCGGACCCCATTGAAGACAAAGCAATTTCCAAGTAACACGTCAAGTGTTATATCGAAACGCGTAAGTTTCTCTTTCATCAAATAGCTTTCTTTCAAACGAGATCTTTAGACTGAGTCGACGGCGAATCTTCGAACTCCGTTAACGACAGCTCGCCGTGCTGGAATGCCACAGCAGCTACCGACAGGTAAGACACCTCTACACAATTCAACGATGCAACTTCGAACAACGAAACGCACGAACATCGATACAACATCATCAACGATCGTTACACCCGCTAAGCAACGTCGTTTAGTCAATCAAATGCACGAAACAATGAAAATGTCAAATACAACGGAGAATATCTCATCGCATAGCATTTTAACCACTACTTTAAAAACATCAACCATAGTAAGACGAATATTTTACTATTTTTGTCTTACAATTTTTCTCTCTTCAGGCAACACCGGGAAAACGTGCAATACCTAAACGTGCAATTCCAACACCGATTCGTACACATAAAGCAAAATAAACGAATCTTGTGAATCATAGAAATCGCTGTATATTTATTCGATATTGTTGTTTATTTTATTTGAATGTACAAATAACAAAATAGAAAAGAGAAATATAAATACATTTATGACTATATCTGACTAAACGAGAATAGATGTGGATAGATTTTTCTCTTTCTCATCATTTAATATGGGAATTTCGATATAATTTGGATTACTAAATGCTGGTGGAGGTTTTTCGATCGGCTTAACAATCGTTGTCGCAGTTGACTTTGTTTGTCGTCGTCGTAGTTTCACACGTTCGACACGATCGATCTCTCGTGCTATAAATTGATCAATCTCATCGATTGGCTCCAGAGACGAAAGAATAGTCGCTACTGGTAATGTCGTGCTGACAAGTTGTGCACGTTCAGGTTGAATTGAGTTCTAAGAGAAAATGAAAATCTTTTAGTTTCTAAGAAAAAAATATCCATTTTTCCTTCGTACCAATGAGAATCGACTTGTTTTGGGTGGAATTATCACCGGATCATCTTGTAATGTTACACAACGTTTTCTCGGTTTGGCATATAATGGATCGAAATTTTGTTCATCACCACCAATGCGCTGATTGACATAATTATGTTGATTCAAAGACGAAGGAGGCGTCAAGCAATTCGCTAAAAGCAGAAGAGGGATCTGCGTTGTATTGGTATTGGAATAGGAGCGTGTAGGTTCAATATCGATTATCAATGGTCGAGAGAAGGATAAATTCGATTGATCAATGATATCATAGATTGGATTGGAATAGGAACGTATATTCGACGACATAGAAAACTGCAAAACAGTATCAACATGAATCTAAAAGAAGCCAATATTGTTCAATTTCTAATGTTCACGTTTTTTTTTCTTCCGCTGAGCTCTGTTTACATAAAACAACAACAAAAAACCTGAGTGAAAGACTATCTACGCATATACAAAAACGCCTATTGAAAGATATATATCTTACAGAAAAAAAGAAAACACAACAAGATTTTCAACTGATCTATGTGGTGTAGAAAATTAAAACAATGTTTACAATCAATAGAGGATTTAAAAAAAAACAAAATTCGTTGCTTTTCATCTGACAAGTTATCTATTGAAGTTTATACGATTTCTCCCAGAAAGATAGATCGTCTTTAGCTTCAGCTAATCGTGCTCGATCTAATAATTCATCAAGATTTTCATGTGTACATTCACATATCTGCAAAAGTTTTCGAATACAATCGATTGAGTATAAATGAATTCGACTAGGCGTAAAAGATTTTGTTAATAATGTCAGTAATTGTGAATAGAGTCCAGGGTGTGAAAATAATTCGATAATGACCGGCTTAAAACCTAGTTTATTTGCCTACATTAAATAGAAGTAAACGTTTGAAATCACATCGAAGAAATTCAACTTACAAATCGCTTGATTTTCTCTTCATCGAGTTCATTGAGAAGATTTGAAATAGTAAAACCTGGTATCATTATATAAGAATTGTATCTTGCAAAAATGAGTTGTTCATGTGAATTGATCATAACAACTTTAGTTAATGGAAGATTGGATAGAGAATATTTCGTTTGGAATGAGTCGCTCGATACTGATGAATGTAGATCAGTATGGATGGGTTTCGCACAAATTTCATTTTCACGCATTGTTCTACAATTCGAATTCAAACATTCTTATTCATTTTCTTTCCCTTTACATACTCTCCAGCTTTCCAATACAATGCAATCATCGAATGCATCGGCTGGCCATGTTCATCCAACATATAAACCTTGACAACGGTACACATGTTTTTCTTGAACGTTGAAAATTGTCTTCTTACTTGATTTTTCTCCTTGGATATATCGTCGATCGGTCGAGCCATTTTGCAATGTATCAAAAAATCGTTAATGCAAACATACGCTTCATCATGGGCAGCAAATAAATTCACGTAAAACGTATTATCACGTCCTTTATACAACGGTTCAACATCACATGAACAATTGTGAACAACGTTTTGAAACGTTTTCAATACAACATTATTCCACTCATGGTCACTCAAAGGAGTGATCGCTGCTAGACGACATGTCAACAAACGAACGGGTCGTTGGGAATATTTAGTTAAGATGAAACGTAAACGTGCCCGTGGCACGTGCTCTTCCCAAGAATTCAGATCAACGAAGAAGACATTGACTGTATCGTCAGATAGATCATATTCCATAATTTGAGAACGGTTCCAAGCTGATACAATTGGGTCCCAGGTGACACAAAGTAAGTTTTTCCGCAGATATTCTCGTGGAATATGTAAATCGTCGATTGAATTATAATAATCGCTGAAAATATTCAATAGAAGTCAAACAAATCTACGAAGGTAAGTCGATACTTCATTGTTTTGAAAAATGCGTCAGATTCAACCAGATCTCGAGTTAATTGAATTGTAAATGCATAAGGTGAAATGATGGATACGATACAACATTGTTGAACAACATTCAGTTCCAATGATGATGTTTCATATTTATATTCATTGGATGTCACATCGGCAATTAGAATTTCCTCGTTCGATGTCTTTTCCTAAACAAAAATTCTTGAAAAAAGACGTTTTTCGAAAGGTTATTTACAACTGATGAATTCCGAATATTCATTTTATCAATTCCGTTTTGACAAAAAAGAATTTGTTCAGTGATATAGTTGTCATCATGCTTCACTGGTTTATTTATCGGCGTTGAAGACGTTTTTGGAAACATACATCGATTATACGATTCCGCTTGTTGAAGAAAACGCCGTAGAAGTTGAGTGCCATGACTTGGATTTCGATGCATTTACTCATATACACGCGTGAATCTTTCTGGAACAAGAAATGTGACTTTCTTTATTTGATAATGTGCTTATTGAAACAAGTGCATGAAAAAAGACGACAAACAAGTTGTCTGGTTAGTACTGTAATTCCTTTTTTTTAACATAAGAAAGTACAATATAGTAATAAAGAAAAGAAAAAACACGCTATTGAAAATAATGCAAAAAAGAGCTAATATCAACAGAAGAATCCGTTTCTATTCAAAAGAATTCATTTGTTGTTGTTTGATTGTTCCTCTTGTTTTCATTGACCAATACATGTTCAGGAGGCTTCTCTTCTTCGGAAGGTGTGGCAAGTATAGGTGGCCAATCAGGTGTTAGTCGAAGAATGTTTTCGATGTGCAGATGATGTGTACCTATTCGTGAACGTTCATTTCGAGATGTTGATGATAGAGGTGCACGTTTGAAACTAATATTATCATTTTCAATGACATATTCCTTGGAAACAAACAATTAGAAGCAAATGAGAACAGTTGAAGCATTTACTTCGAAGACAAACATGACAACAAAGTTAAGCATGGCCATTGCAAGAATGATCAATTTGAATTTTATATCCGGGATGAATCGTAGCTGAAAAGAAAGAAAACATTCGTACCAGGCATCGCTTGAAAGCACTGACATCTATTTCTTGATCTTCTCTGCTATGTTTATTCCTCGGTACGTCAAATTATCAGTTTGACGACTGACTTGCTTATATACGAAATCATTCGTCCGTTATTCGTAACGATGAAAACTTTCCGACTGACGTCTCTCTGTTATTTTTAGTTAATTGAAATGAAAGTAGACTAATGTATGTGTCTCCGTTAGGCATTCAGTTGTTAAGTAAACATTACTACAATACAAACCTCAAAGAAGTTGTAGAGCGGTTTGACAGGAACGAAAAGAAGAAGCAAACTGAATCCAAATGTGAGTACAATCGAAAGAAGAAACAACCCTGGAAGATGATAAATGATAAAAACGTCAATCGTAATGAAAAGTTCATTTACAATTCGAAAATATCGATCGACGGTAGGGGGCACCGCGAGAGAAGACAATCGATTCCCAAATGTATTGAAATGTTGATTGAAGAAATATAGCCGTATTAATATGCGATACATAGATTTTATCAGTATTGAACTCAAACGGCTCGTACCTAAGTGAAAATAGAAAGAAAGAATGACTTATTTGGTAGCAAAGAAGAACTATTCAAATAACCATGGTTGTCTTTTAACAAATTCGAAAGTAAAGGCTTGAAAACCAGCACAGATTGATAGATGACCAATAAGTGAAAAGAGTGGCCGCCTAGAATAGATATTCCTTTTCATTAGAAATCTATTGGATTTATTACATACCAAGAAATCAGCTTTGTTCGAGGTGGTTTAGGATCCAAATATGGATATGACTCTGTTCGACTGACTGAAATTTTCCAATGATCATAACTATTCAAAGATTTCCATCGAACTCACAAAGTAATACCAGCAATGTAATAAGACCCAAATCAATAAACAGAAATTCATAATCAGTTAAATTGTTTCCAATCTAATAAACAAAAGTAGTCATTTAATTCAACTTCTCACAATTGATTTCATGAACCGCGTACCGTATATAACATAATAACTGTCAAGAATTGAGTCAAACTATACGCAACCATATACTTCACGACTCCAAACGAAGTCACTAATGCTGTACGACGAGAAACAATAAAATTACTTCAATGCAAAATCAATTTTTACCTGCACGTCCTTCCCTAAAAGACAAAATTCCGAATATACATGAGTACATTGAATGCAAATTTCTCCTACCGAATAATAGTGGGTACACATTCGATTGTTGGCGTTCGAGATGTAAATGGACTTGCGATTGATGCGTCAGCTGTTGATAATGATATTCCTGCGTGTGCTGCTTTTAATGCTCCAACATCATTAGCACCATCGCCACACATCGACACATAGTAACTAGAAATATGATGATATAATGATAAAATCAATCATATGACAAAGTATCGTTCTATTGTTTAACAAAAAAATGTCATCTGTTATTACTAATCAATCGTGTCAGAAGAGCTGATCGAGAAGTCGAAGTGAAAAAGAGTTCTATAGATTTGTTTACAGATGATTGATAGTGCAGCAAGTTTGATTTAATGGATAGAACGGAAGTTTTTTTGTATTGACATTGATATACAATGAGAAAACGACACTGAGTATC